TTGCTGGAAATTACAGGTGGGCAGAGTGCTGTTGCACTCATGTTCTGTTTTGGGGCTTCCAACAGACATCTGTGCTGCACTAAATGAGTCATTGACCTGACACAGCAGGCTCCTCTTCTGTTCTTCTGTTCATACAGACTGACTTGAACTATGGTATATTGGAAAACCAACAGGAAGTAAAGCCTAAAAGCAAGTGATCTACTGTACCAACAAGTTAGTTTGCCTTTCTGCCTGTTGCCGCACCCACCCACCGGTTCAGGTCAATTTTGCTTTACTCCTTATTAAAACAACATACTGAGTGTTGAGAGTAGGGGAACAAGTGTGCTAGCTGCACCCTTCATTCCTGATGCCCTCCACAAGTTGGAGGGCTACCTTGTTCACCAGGGAGCTGTTCTATCATGTAGCTTCCCTTGCATGACACAGAACCCTGGAAAATCAGGGTTCTACATTCTAGAGCAGGCATTCTAGAGCACTGCAGGCAGAGGGCAACCAAGAAGGCAAGTATGGTAGGATCTCCAGTCCCACATCTCTCCTCCCCTTCATGTACTGATTTCATTCAGAAGACTAACACTTCTAGCTTGGGTCATAGGGTAGAGAGGCCCTGGGAAGCAAACATCTGGAAAGTTAGGGACAAATCCTGGAGGAAATTGGGAAGGCAGGAGTGGATACAACATTGGTTCTGGAGAGTGCAGGGAAGGGCAAAGATGAAATCTGACACAAAGTTCTGATCACTGCCAGAACTTTGATTTTACTGGATTTTCAGACACTAATACAGGCTGATACAACATTGGGCGTGATTTTATTTTTTTAGCTCATTGGATCAGCAAAATACTGGCTGCGTTAACAAACAACATGAAAGCTGATCAGAGCAGCAGAGGATTAATTTCATGCACAAATTAACAGTCACCGTTGGCTGCAGTAGCAGAAAAAGCTTGCTTACATACCAGTAGCTGTTGTGCAATTAAGCAGATCCTTCCACTACCTTTTAAAAATTTTTTACATCAACCCTTGATTATATATTTGGGATTAGGATTACTTCCCCCCTGCTGCCTGCACAATATGTAATAAATCTATTTCTTCTTCATCATAAACCGGCTGGGAAAAGAGCCACTGTGCTTGAAGCTGTTTGTCTGCTTTTAGTGGCTGACACATTAGCTCTTTTATGTTGTGAAATAAGTCTTCACTTTCTTAACATCAGCCAGGCCTGGTACATAAACCTCTTGCCCTGAGGGAGGCCTTACCTTTGACTGCTTAAGTGGCAATGTTTTTGAAATTCCACCCCAGAGCTAAACTGGGCTTATGATCATCCCAGCATGCATTGCACCCATGCTGATGGCACAGGGCCTGCGGGGACGAGGTGAAGTGATTGCTGGCAAAATCCTCAAACTCTGTAAATTGTATTTCCACTTACACTGGCTTACAGGTGATTTCAATTGTACAAACACAGATTGGCCTTTCCTCAGATATATCACTTCAGACTGTAGTCATAGTTGTGGGAAGCTTCCCATGCATCGTTGTGAAAAACAATAAGCAAACTCTCTCTGCATACCAGCAGCCAGAAAAACCATCTCATCAGGAAGGAGGCTAGGCTACAACATTATTTATACATTGTGTTGTTGTTGTTTAGTCGTTTAGTCGTTTCCGACTCTTTGTGACCCCATGGACCAGAGCACGCCAGGCATTTCTGTCTTCCACTGCCTCCCGCAGTTTGGTCAAACTCATGCTGGTAGCTTCGAGAACACTATCCAACCATCTCGTCCTCTGTCGTCCCCTTCTCCTTGTGCCCTCCATCTTTCCCAACATCAGGGTCTTTTCCAGGGAGTCTTCTCTTCTCATGCGGTGGCCAAAGTATTGAAGTCTCAGCTTCAGGATCTGTCCTTCCAGTGAGCACTCAGGCCTGATTTCCTTAAGAATGGAGAGGTCCATGGGACTCTCAAGAGTCTCCTCCAGCACCATACATACATACATACATAGTTATAACCCAGCCTTCATGAAATGGTCCCTGGGTCTCTGACTTACAGAAACATCACACTTAAAATAAGCACAATGTTCCTTTAAAATAATAAAGTAAAACCACAAACACCACCAATAGGAAGATAACAAAACAGGGGGACAGAACTGCAGTGCTCAGCCATGCACAGGAATATAGGAGGATAGTAAACACACATGCAAACAAAGGCCTGGGCAAATATGTGTGTCATGACTGATCATTGAAATAGCACGTGGTGATGGCCCAAGAAGCATCCATTCAAGAAATGGGGAGTCACCACGGAGAATGCCCTTGCATGTGTCACCACCCCTTGAACCTCAGAGGGTGGTAGCACTTCCAACAGGGCCTCCCCTGCTGCTCCCCTTCACGCCTAGGCAGGTCATTATGGGAGGAAGCACTTTCAGATAAACCCCTCCCCCTGACTTTCTAGCTTTTCATTCAAAGTAAATGGAGGTTTTGTATGGTTGTTTTCAGCATGGAGGAGCACTCATGAAGGACCATACTATGTATGATTCCTACCTATTTGACTCCATATTTAGTCCTGCTGCTAAATTGGGTTTAAAAGCAAGGATGCTGGGTTAAATGACATCTGCTGTAATTGGCTGCATTCACACAGCAGTTTATTCCATTTTCCCGATGTTTCTCTAACAGTTAATTTCTGCATTATATTTGACTATAAAACACAGCATAAAAGCCACGTCTGGAAATATAGCACAATACTGTATAGGGCATGTTTAGCTCTTATTTCCGGGTTACTTGTTTTCAGAATAATCTGTTTGCAAATAACACAGAAATTAGCACTAAATTGCAATTATAAGTACTTATAGTAAGAACAATATATTAACAGTTAACTATTCCGAAATCAAAGTACTTTTTTGTTTGTTTATTTGTTTACATAGAAGAAATTCAGATTCTTGGATTGTATGGGGCACAATAGAATTGAACAAGTTTCCTCCTATAAATATCTAGGCATATGGTTTCATGAAACTGTAAGGGTGGAAGGTATGGGAAAAACATGCCAGGACTAAAGTGGAACAAAAACAATTTTCTCAAAGGATGGGGAATTTCTTCCAGTAGCTATCCAGGTTTATAAAGCCAAATATTGTTTTGGGGGCACAAACTTGGTTTCCTGATTTTAAGCATTCATTCAAAGGAACTCAAACTTTCCCCCCTTAAGGTTAATATTCAACATTTCAAGGCATGCCACTTGAGCCACCCTTAATCTGGAAGCCAGCTTGAAGTCTTTAAAGCGCCTAGTGTGGATTTATTCTATTCATTTTTTGGCTTTGCTGCTATCTTGTGTTTACTCCTAATGCCTTGGCTTCTAAGGTAATGTTCTGCTCTTTTGAATCACGTTGGCTGAAGGCTGTGGTGCAAAAGGTCACTTCAAGGGTTTTTCACCTTCTTACCTGTTAACTCAGGATCTAAACGGTGCTAAATCAATTGTTTAACAGCGGCTTTCTGAATATAGATTTCCAAGCGCTCCAAGGAATTGCACAGGAATCCTGCTTCTCCCAGTGGATGTGGTTAATCATGTCTCCCCTCCAGAGACTGAATGCCATATTTGGGATGGTAAACTATGTATCTCTGAATGTAGGAAGGTTTTATCTTTGGCAAAGTTTAATGTTCTTCCTTCCAATTTGTTATAAGGTAGGTACCCAATGAACCATAGATGCTGCCCTTGTAAAAAGGTCGAGAAGGAGTCTGTCTTCCATGTCCTTTTCTGGCAAGCAGTTACGAGAGACCTAATAGATCCCATTATACAGTCACTGCCTGGCCACTCTTCTGAGTCTCTTATGGTCGGTTTGCTCCAGGGATCCAGTCATGGGGCAAGTGGCAAAGTTTTTGACTATGTCCAGCCATACTAGACCACTTATGACTCTCTCTATATATATCTAATCTATCTATCTATCTATCTATCTGTCTGTCTGTCTGTCTATCTATCTATCTATCTATCTATCTATCTATCTATCTATCTATCATCTATCTATCTATCTATCTATCTATCATCTATCTATCTATCTAATCTATCTATCATCTACACACACACACATTTAGCATTATAATTCTGTGTTTTTCATTTGTATTAATGTGTACTTTTATTACTTGTCAATTTTTATAAAATTAAATGGTCTGTTGAATGCAAATAAAGTGTTGTTGATGATGACTACTGCAATGCATTGTTTGTGGGGCTGCCTTTGAAGACAGTTCAGGAACTACAGCAAGTGCAAAAGGTGGTAGCTATATTGTTAATTGGGACAAGAAGGCACAAGTTCTAGCCTGACTGCACTTGACTGCTGATTTTGTTGAACCCAATTCAAACAGCTGTTTTTGACCTTCTGTGGCTCAGGGCCCTGATAGCTAAAGTCGCCTTTCCCCAAATGAACTTTCCTAGACCCTGATATCAACTGAGGCCATTCAGGAAGGTCTGGTGAGTAACACTGAGAGAACAGGCCTTCTCTATATTAGTAACCCATCTACAGAATGCTTTACCCAAGGAGGTCATCTGGCATCAACTTTATTTCTCATTTGGTACCCGGCGAACATGTTTTTGTTTTTCCAGGGTAGCATCAATGAATGGATGTTTTACTCTGGTTATGTTTCCATATGTTTATGTATATTTATTACTGTTTTACATTCCTGTTGTAAATCACTTTGGGACTTTTGTTGTGGGAAGCGATTCATAAATTCAATAAACCTAACCCAGCTAAGCCTGCCTTTCATTGGTCACCAGCAGTCACTGACTAACATGCCTCATGGCGTTGTGGTAATGACCAAACAGAGGGGGAAGTTATGCATGTCTCCCTCAGTCCCTTAGAGGAAAGACCAGGATAGATAATGGAAAATGTTTGGCTCATTCTGCAAAGAATACATTACATAGATGTTGGTTCTGAGAAACTGTCAAAATTAGAATATGTGTTGCCTCTTTTGTGTCAAAGACTGCTTTACAGAATGGCAATTGTCTAACACAATGAAATGCACATTAGGCCCATCCCCATGAGAGAGAAACTTTCCTGTTTGGAACAACTTCAAGTTTATTAACTTATAAAAGTGATAGAACAAATACATAAATAATGGTTACAAGTATGTGTCTTGGGAAGTGGGTGGGGAGAAGCCCAACCTAAACCCAGGCTATGGTGTATATTTGTTAATCTTAAGCAAACTCACTATATTGGTGCTTCCTTTTCCTTAAAAAGTTGTTATCATACAAATAAATACACAGTCTGCACCCCACCTTTCTTGTCACAAATACAGAAAGTAATTCACTTTTCTTTCAAAAATAAAAAATAAGTACTGTACACTTTCCATGAACTTCCCACCTCACAGTGGTATACTCCAGAAATAGGTATACCACACCTTATCTGCTAATAATTAGGCCTAAGTGCTCATTAAGTTTCCACTGAGAGAGGTGCTTGATGCTTCAGATTATACTTCCATGTCTGGGAAGAATCACTTTGTAGACCACTCTGGCTATGGTGGGACTAAATCCAACGCTTCTCTTCTGTTTGCAAAACAACTCCCACTTGCACAACATGCAAGTAAATAATTACTTGCATGTAAATAATTACTCCCACTTCCCCTCCCTGCTACAACCCCCTCATGCAAAATCTGTTCCAGATGGTTTTTTGGGGGGGGGTCCTCTGGAACAGCCTTTGTGTATGTATGGGGAGAAGCAGAGGAAGGGGAAGTGGGGTGTTGGATACAACTCCAGCATTGCACCTGACAAAGTAGGCCTTTGGCTATGAGAGCCCACACAGCAGACTTCAAATGTGCACCAGCTGTTGCCGTAACTTTACTGTGATGCAGGAAGGTGCCTTCTGCTGAGTCAAACCATCAAGTTCAGTATCCTCTACATCAGGGACAAGACAACATGGTGTCCTCCAGGTTGCTGGACCACAGCTTCCACATTCCTGACCATAGGCCATGGAAGTTGAGGGCTGATGGGAGCTGCAGTCCAATAGCATCCGGTGGGCTCCACGTTGGCTATCCCTGATCTGCACTACTGACTGGCAATGACTCTCCACTGATTCAAGCAGGAGTCCCACCCAGTCCAGGCTTACCTGGAGAGTGAACCCAGGGACTAAACCTGGAATAAAGTGTGAGTTCTACCACTAAGGTAAGGCCCCTTCCTTGCTGTGGCATTTGCCAGTTTTGGTGAGTGCTACCTTCCTGAAATGAATCATAACTAAAATATTGATCAGCTCCTACCTTCCGTTTTACATGGTGTGAAACAATGGACAGAAGCTGATGGCAGGGAGGTTGCTTAGAAAGCCATGTGCAAATGATATAGCAGTGAAGCCATTAGCATAGCTTAATGCATGAAGCATAGTATAGTTGAAAGGATCGGTGGGAATGTGGCCTGCAGTTCTGGCAAGAAATGATACTTCCTTCCCCAGGCCAAACTGGAGGCTCTTCCAGACCTACTGTTTACAGCACTATAGGTACTGTTACTTCTTGTTTTCTGGAGTGAAATTGTAGCAGACTGCCCACCCCATTGGTCACTTGTCATTGTTCTTTGGAGGGTGGTATCATATTTTCACATTGAGAAAAGTTCTGTGCCTGTAGCCACACCTCTTCCATTCTATTGTTCCACCAACCAGTAAAACTCACAATTATGAGCACAAACACAAGTTACTGATAGGCTTTTTGCGGCTGGGGTGTCTGTGTGCATGTAGGTATATAACACTTGGAATTCTGGCTCTATGGGAATTTAGGAGCATACGCAGCAGGAACTACTTGAGTTCACTGCTTCAGACTGAGCTAGCCTCTAGTGACACTCTATCAAAAAGGATAGGGAAAATATGGGAAACAGAAACTGCTGAAACTCACCCCTCCCCCCAAAAAAGAAATTGGGAAATTGCATGACACCTTCCTCACAATGCATATCTTGCAGAACTGTTCAGGAAATTCCACAAATGTTGGAAATTTTGTGATGGAAGAAAAAGTAGTCTTGAGAACTGCAATGTTGCAGAATAGCAATGGAATGACAATGATGCCATGTGGAAACACACAGAAAAATCTGGAAAAACAGCAGCTGAAGGTATGATTGGAAGGTCCCTTAACTGTGTGATTACATTGTGTGAATGTATTTTTTAAAGACTAAATAGCAGAAGTATGCATGTAAAGGAGCTGCAACTCTTCATTTCCCAGCTACTCAGTGCATAGGATTGGGGCCCCTGGCCTACTATTTACTCTTAAAAAAATCATTCTCAAGATGCACCATTTCTTTTTTTCCTCTTCTCCATCCCTTCAGAGCATCATAAGCAGTTTAAAGTTCTTCATGTGCTCCAGGGATTATGACTTCATTAAGGCTGCTTGGCGGCCAAGATGCATGCTAAAAGGGACCACAGGAAAATAGCTTTGAGCTACCTATACCGAGTTGGAAATGAGTGAAAATGATTTAAAAAGGAGCCTTTCCCTCAAATTAGTAGAAAAATAGAGTAATTTGTGCTAATGTCTGCTATTTCAACAGTTAACAGGAAAACTATGCATTACATGCTCATGCACGCAACAACACCCTGATGCCAGTTTTCGGAAAGCAAGGTTAAGAGTGGAGAAGCAAAGGAAGGGACAGGGAGTGCTTAAACTAAGGTCAGAGAACCTCAGGTACAGAGGCAAATTATGCCCTGCCCCCGCCTCTCTGCCTGCCACTTGGAACTCTCCTCAGGCCACACTCCCATCACCCTGCCCTACACTCTCTTCCAGTTCTGTTGCCTGGCTGGAATATGTCCCATGAACTGTAAAAATGTCCCTGGCTTGCTTGGATAGAGAGATGCACGCCCAGAAAGCAGCATGGCTGGACTGGAGCCTACTCTGTAAAGGTAAGAGTCACATCCATTGCCACATCCACCCCTGGCAGGTTGCACATGTGGAAATGTGATCCTTCAGCTGAAAAATGTTCCCTGCATCTGGCTTAATCCTTTCATCACCAGCCCTTTTTTATGATGATGATGATGATGTTGTTGATGATGACTAAAATCATTTCTCCAAGCTACTTCCACCCGGGCAGGGGTCGTGTTTTCCACATGTGTGTTTATGAGGGATAAGCACCTTTCCTGCCTGCCTGCCTGCCTGCCTGCCCCCTCTCTTGAAGCTGCTTTGCTCTTAAAACAAAACAAAACAAGACCAGCATCAAGGCAGTATTGTACATTTTAACATGTAATGTGTCATTAGCCCCAGAGGCACTGCGCCAAAAGCCATGGTACCTGTTAGTCTGAAATCTCACTTTATATTCTAAGCTCTCCAATATTGCTGTCAGAGTCATTTCCAGATCTGCATATAAAACATTTTCATTTTTGTTGTTAGGCCTTTTCCTTGATCATTAAGCTTGCCGGATCTAATTACTATTATTATTTTTCCCAAACCAGTAAAGCCACGACCCTTTACATGAAGCTAAACCCTCCCGTTGTCTCCTGCCAGTAACACAGCCTCCTAAGTCTTCCGGAGAGATACTGAAAAGCCTGAGACAGATCTACATGAAGGAGCAGGTTACATTGGGCATGAGATGAATATTGACTTGCATTATAAGTTTGGCTTTTAGGGCTTTTAGGAGAAGCAGATTAAGCCCGCAGTCCAGCTGCAGATCCATGCCTTCATCGGCTTTCTGGCGTTTCTCTCTTAGCAGTGGTCCTTCTCAGACTTCTCCAGGTACAAAACCTTTACCAAATCTTCCAGCTCTGTCCTGCACACCCGAGCTTCACACATTTGGCTTATCTGAGCTTCTCCCTCACTGAATATTTTCCACTGGCCTAAAACAAAACACAAACAAATATTTCACTTCAAAGCAGGGGCACCAAATATGTCACAGCACAGTGAAGCTTTTTATCACGTGGAAGCACATCTGAACCCCAGAAGGTTGATGGGAAGAGCCTCTATACGTTCATGCCTTTCCTAAGAGAATTTTCATCCCAAAGACATTTGGGTCTCACTGGTTTACATTAGCATCGCACCGTTCCCTAAAAGATCATGGAAACTGTAGTTTGCCCCATGCACAGTTCCCAGCGCCCTTAACAAACTACAGTTTCTGGGCTTCTTTGGGAGAAGCCATGTGCTTGAAATGGACGGTGTTGATGTGACCTATAGTTATCATTGGAGGAGGACATGGCTGCCTGTCTGGAAGCTTGAATAGCAGCACTTCTGCTAAGAGGTGAGGAAACACACGGCAACATTTTGTTGTAGACATAATACCAATGAAAGAACTACACATTGACTCAAACCACAAGGCTTTAAGGAGTCAGTCCATCCATTCAGTTGCTCAACATCAACTCTAGAACCGTGAAGTGCAGAGAGATTGAGAGATGTGTGTGCAGTGGTAAACTTTACATGCCTACTTTGCTATTCTTTGCTGTAGCCTTGATGTCAAACTAGGCATTATTGGGAAGCCCTTGAATAAAATCTCTTGTGGGCTTCAAAGGCTATAGCTCCTGCCAACCTAGCAGTTCGAAAGCACGTCAAAGTGCAAGTAGATAAATAGGTACCGCTCTGGCGGGAAGGTAAACGGTGTTTCCGTGCGCTGCTCTGGTTCGCCAGAAGCGGCTTAGTCATGCTGGCCACATGACCGGGAAGCTGTACGCTGGCTCCCTCGGCCAATAAAGCGAGATGAGTGCCGCAACCTCAGAGTCGGTCACGACTGGACCTAATGGTCAGGGGTCCCTTTACCTTTACCTTTACAGACAGAAAACAGAGAAAATCCTGTTTGCTATTTGTTCTTTCCTGCAACTAACTGTGGAAACATATGAAGCAATGCATAGAGAGAGGCAGGTGCTTTCCCTTTTGTATCATGCTCATTCAGTGGAATCTATTTGGATACCTCCAAGGTCTTTTTTACAGCAAAAAAAATCCAGAGATTGCAATTTGAGAGCAAAGGCATCTGGCAGCACAGACAAGGAATTCTAGGGTGTTCTAGCTCTTGCTGACTATCTCTGGTCAGATTACAATTTGGCTCTAGGGAACTGTGTATCCCACCCACTTGCTACATATCAGAAATTCCTGGAAGAGATCAGTTAAGAAGGCTTAATTTTGCCAGTCATTCTTGACTTTCAGTAGGCTTTAGCTTTTGACTCACTCCACGTACATGTAAACAAATCAGAGGCTGAAAAGAATCAAGGGATTGTTTGTCTAGTACCACTGATCATGTAAACAGCCCTTTGATTCACACAAATGAAATAAAGATCAGAATATTTTCAAAAGTTGCTGCCTTGGAATTTTTCTTGGTATGGTCAGATTGTGGGCTTTTCTAGACAACCTGTTTATCTGGGCCAGATTTAGATGAAGACAGGCCCTAGGCTGCTCCACTTGTGAGCCCCTCCCCCACCCTCATGACTAGAAGAAACGGAAGTGTTATAAACAAAATTGAGTGAAGCCAAGGATGATGATGGGTATTTAAAATTCTTCAATTCACAATTTCTCCTCTAAAGGACATAAGATATTATTGTTTAATACCACAGTGATTTTTAAAAATGCGTAAATGTTAAAACTGACACTGAAAAACTTTTGCAATAACTGAACTTTTGTGGAATAAGCATTATTTTTTAGGAAAATGAAGTTGTAAAACACACATTGAGTTTACAAATTTTATTGCCTGGGAAATGTAAATAATATGATCATGGTTACCTGACAATGTGGCACTTTTAGAATCTACTTTATGTTGTCATTAAACAGTCAGTTTTAAAATACATATTAAGAAGTAAACTACAACCATCAAATACAGTATGACTAAAAATGTTTCCTCCCTAGCCTTCCTTATAGCAAAATCATCCAAAACTTCATCAAAATTTGTATGTCTAAGTTTGTCACTTTCAATGTACATAATGCTAAGTGCGGACAACCTCTCTTGAGACATTGTGGCCCATAATTCATTTTTAATCCTTTTGAGTCTTGAAAAACTCCTCTCTCCTGAGCAGTTAGTGACCATAAAGCTATGAAATAGCCACAAGATTGCTTCTGCATTAGGAAAGGCCATCTGAATTTTTTTCTTGTATATAATTTGATAAAGGTTTGTATGAGACAGAGAGTGCTCTGCTGTAAGCCTATGTCTTTGTCTCATGTACAGGTGAAAGTGCAAAGTTCATCAAGAAGTTTGAGGTCAATATCTTCTGGGTATGCTTTCATCAACAGTTCAACACCTTGCTGAATTTCTTGCTTAGATGCTGTCAGATTAGCAAGAATGGAAAACACTTGTGCAATATCACTGTACACAGTACTTCTTCTTTTTAAAATGGCTTCAAGTGCATCTAATATAGGAATTAAGGATTTTATCCTAAACTTATCTCTTGAAGAATGTGCATCTAAGGCACCAGGTGCACTTCTGTCATTTCTTTGCCATTCCCTTACTCGTTGTCTCCTTGTTTTGTAGTTGACATTTGGCAAGGTGGTTTTTGCTTGTTTCTCAAGCTCATCAAAATCTTCTCTAGTTTTCCTTTAAAAATCCAGAAGTGAACTGTACAAACTTGCACAAGAACTCAATAACAGGTCTGATTTCTGAAGGGCTTTGCTGACCTTGTGAAAATGACCTAGCACATGGGTCAAAAAATAGGGTCCCACTGGCTGGCCCTGAGTCTCATAGTTGCTGGGCCTGAGCTGCCCTGCCCTCACATGAAGTCTTGGGTTTGCAATTTTGGGAGAGGACAAACTGCCTGCTGGGGGGTGGGCAAGCTGGGGAGACTCCCTAGATCTAGAGGCCCTAGGCTTCAGCCTACTTAGCCCATACATAAATCCGGCACTGGCACCCACCCTGATTTGCTTGCAGGAAGCTTCTGTGGAAGTTAGATTATATCTCATCTAGATCGAGCACCCATTCTGATTTGTTTGCCTTGTTAATATATGACAAAGGACATCCTGACTTGCTCAGAGGGTGTTTATAGGTCTTCCTATTATTTGTTCACTTCACACTTTCTAATCCATTTCTGTCTCACTTTCTAAACTGCAAAAAGTCAGATTTTTTTTTTTAAGTGGCTTTGTTTCGCTAGGGTAACAAAGCCTTTAACTGTGGAAATCTAAAGTTCTGATACGTGCTTAAATTTTGCCCACAAAATAGTGACAATGTGGAAGCACCCTTTATCGAGACATTGGCAAGTGAAGTTAATTTGCTTGATGTGCTAATTCATATAAGCACACAAGAAGAGCCTGCTGGATCTCCTCAATGACCCATCATCCTGTTCTCACAGTGACCAGCGAAGCATGCAATCAGGATTCAAGCACAAGAGCACCCTCCCCTGCTGTGATTTCTAGCAACTGGTATTCAGACACATTACTGCCTTCAACTATGGAATCTCCACTATGGCCAGTAGCCATTGATAACCTTCTCCTCCATGAAATTGGCTAATCCTTTTTTAAAAAAATCATCCAAGATGGTGGCCATCACTTCTTACTGTGGAAGCGAGTTCCATAGTTCAACTATGTGCTACGTGGAGAAGTACTTGCTTTTGTCATTCCTGAATTTCCCAACATTTGGCTTCATTGGAAGTCCACAAGTTCTAGTGTAACAACACAGGGAGAAAAACATTTCTCTAGCCACTTTCTCCATGCCATGCATAATTTTATAAATGAGGGCTGCTATAAGTCCAGATTTTCACTTTTTGAAATATGGCAGCCCTATATAAACGTCTATCACAATCATTTTGCTTTATGTTCCGAAATGATCAGATCCAAACGTCTCAGAGACAACAGTACAATTAATCCAATTAGTAAATTGAGGATGCAACCCTACGCACACATTGAGACCAGTGGGACAGACTGAAGACATAAAGGTCTACGCTCTGCGTATGGAGTGTGTGTATGTGTGCGTTGGAGAACGTATTTCTTCACAACTAAGTTTTTGTGAAAAATCAAAGAAGGCGTTTGACTTACTCAAAGTGGTCTTTGTGATCTGCTTGAAGTGGCGTAGTTCGCTGAACTCATCCTTGGATACTGTTTGCTTGTCAAAGTGGCTCAGGATACCTGCAGCAAATGGTTAGAAGAACACACTCAAGAACCACCTTCTGCTTCTTGACACCAGGCCTTGCACAACTTGATTGCACAGCTTGAACCACCAGCGAACTGCACCATATTGTGCAGCAATTGGGCACCAGTAATTATCAGGATTTTCAACAGGCTCTAAATGTTTCCATTTGCTCCAGCGTCAAAAAAGAATAATCTTATACAGACAGATCTGACAACATGCTTTCCTCACTTTATCCACAAAGCTTCAGCTCATTCTGGCTTGACTAAAAGTAAATCCCTTATCAATTGTGGGCTGGGGGAGCAGGTCTGCATATTTTCTGCTAAAATGTTTTAACAAGTAAGAAAAAAGTCGAAACATACAGGGGTTCAAAACAACCCTGTGTACCTTGTAAAAACCAACAAGCCTACCAAACAACAACCAAGTAGACTTTGAAGAGTGCCTACCTTTGTTTGCCCATGAAAAGTTGTGTCAGAATAAAGTAGTTAAGGGGACACAACTCATTTTTTGTGGGGGGGGGGTTAGTGCCAGATGCAGAAACTTGTTTTTATATCACATTTGGAGGTGGTGCAGGGGGAGTGGAGAGACATTAACCTAGAGCATGGGTTTCCAAAAATTTTGAACCAGAGGGCAATCGTTTTGGACCCATCACAGAATTGCTGCTGTGCAGGAATTATCTCACATGGATGTTGAAGGGACATACCACAATGGCTGATCCCTGTTAAAGAGAGAGGAGACCACAAAATGCTGCATCAGTAGGGGGAGAAAGCACCTACATGAGCCACCAGCATGCTTGTTCGTTTAGAGAAGCTCTTTACACTCTTCTCTGCTCAGAATAGAACTGGGCATCAAATGAAACATGGGTATGTTGAAGGGGCAATATCCAATGTAGGAGAGGCTGAGCCTGTGCAAAGAGGAACTGAGCAGGAAGAACAAGCAGACTCTCCTCTGATGTGAATTTTTAAGGGGATATTTACTGAAACCTTTTGAAGGTATCATAGGAGGTACTGGCAGGCACACTCCGGCCTAGATACTAGGCAAACTCCGTTTGGCAAACTCCGACCTAGATACTAGATAGAATGCCTTTCTCAAATTGTTCTCCATAGGCATGGCAGTCTTCTGGGGAGGTACTTCTTAGCATCTTGTCTTATTTACTGTTTTATTTTCTCCTCCCCCCTTTAATGGATTGTCCTAAATGTATTCCTTTTGCTACTCCCGTTCCTCCCCTCTCTTCCTGCCACACCCTTTCTCTCTCTCTCTCTCTCTCTCTCTCTCTCTCTCCCTTCTCAGTCTCCCTCACTTTCTGCTATTCCTTTTATCCCTTTCTTCCCAATTCCCCCATTCCTTATCATCTGCATAGAATAAGGCTGAGAACCACAGGTTGCCAAGCTCTGCTTTAAGTTCTTAAAAATACTTGACTCCATTTTGTTTGCTTTAATCCTAAAGTCCAAAACCCACTTGCTTGGGAGTAAGCCTCACTGAATTCAGTACAACTTCTGAGTAGGCATGGTAACACAGATCCATTCCCCCCCCCCGAAACACACACCTTGATGATGGAAAGAGAATGTTCTCAGCTCACCTTTTCTAATGGTCCACATGTGGATTTTGACTTGCGGTGGTTGATCTGTCTCCAGCGCTATCTTACGTATGGTTTCTCCTTCCTCAGAGAGAACAGCTTCATAGACAGGGAGCATCTCTTCACCACAGAAGTAGTCTTTGCTGTCAAGGTTCTGACTTCCAATTTCATCTATAAGGGAAATAGGTCGATGCATTCATATTTTACTTATTACATTTTATTCTCTCATTTACTCCAAGGATTCCATGCCCCCTCCCCATTAGACTGACAACAATCCTAGGTTGTAGGTTAGGGTTAGGTTAGACTGAAATGCCTGCCAGGTTGTGGCTGTTCCCCTGTGCCCCGTTCCACAGATGCTAAAAGACTCAGGGTCTGAGAATGGGGTTGTGGGCTGCCCTTTTAAACCCAAAGCAACCTGTTATCCATACCTGGGCAGACTTTACAGCACTTCCCTTCAATTTTCCTTGGATGCTTGCAAGGATATTGATCGGGGCAATTAATTTTTTTGCATTCTTGCTTGGTGATGTTGCAGGTGCACAACACACACTCCACGATTCCGTAGGACCGAAGGTTAGGGTGCCAGGATTCTCCGTGGGAGTAGGTTTTTCCATTGGAAACACAAACTGTGGTGAAAAATGAGGGGGAGGGGAGGACAAAACAAGTAGAACTTAGATAGCTGCAATAGGGATAAAGTAACCACAATCTTGCCCATTAATTACTCAAAAACCATGGCACATTTTACCAGCCCATATTTTACCCACTTCATCACAAGAATATTGTGTGGGACTTTATCAAAAGCCTTACTGAAATCAAGATACATTGCATCCACAGCATTCTCCTGATCCAACAAGCTTCTAATTCTATCAAAAAAAAGAACTGAGTTTTGTCTTGCATGATTTGTTTTTGAGAAGCCTTCTCCCTGCAACTGTTGGCTACTTGTGTATACTCTTCCTTCGTGGTTTCCCCATTTTTCCATTTATTATACATGCCCTTCTTAATTCTCAGCTCATCTTTAAGCTACAGCCACACTGGTTTCTTTAAATGCCTCCCACTTTTCTTTCTTGTTAGAATTGACTGCCTTGGTGCCTTCAATATTTCACCTTTAAGAAGCTCCCATCCCTCTTGGACTTCCTTGTCTTGGAGCATTTCTGACCATGGAATCTCAACCAATAGTCCCTTAAAAGCTTTTTGAAATCAGCCTTCTTAAACTCTAGTGTGCATGTCTCACTACACTCAGCTTTCCCTTGCCACTGTATAATGAAACCCAGAAGGACATGATCACTTCCTCCCAAGGTTCCCTGTACTTCCACTTTGTTGATCAGTTCCTTCCTGTTGGTGAGGATCAGGTCCAAGACCTCCTTGCTGCTTCTTTCACCTTCTGGGAAATGAAATAGTCAGCGAGGCAATTGAGGAATTTGTTTGACCTTACATTCTTGGCAGAGTTTGAGTTCCAACAGATATTGGGGCAGCTGAAGCCTCCTACGACTACTATATCTCTCCTTTTTGAATGTTTGGTAATCTGCTCCAAGTCTTCAGTCTGGCTTGGTGGTCTGTAGGGTTAAGGTCAACATTGTTTCCCTCTCCTACAATTTTTAGCCATATACTCTTAATCTGCCTCCCGTGCTCTAGGATCTCTTCACAATTGCACACATCCTTTACATATATGGTCTGCAAATAAAAAGCCAATGGTGCAACCGCTTAAAAACAAAACACACAACCGACCATTGAGAACTGAGCATGCTCAATAGCCATGTAATGCTGAAAGTCAGTGGGGGGGGGGGGAGCCAAATGCCCTGTCTGAGCCTCTAACATGGCCGACAGGTTGGGATTCCAAACAGGAGCACTCCTGTTAGGAGGTGAGGAGGTACACAGCAACATTTTGTTGCAGTTTTATATGTCACTAGTAATCTTAAAGGTATGTGTAGGTTCTAATGCTTAATACAGTGCTATCTTCTAAACACATACAGTATGCATGTGTGTTTAGGAGATCCATAAAAGTTTAACACTGCAGGCCTGTGCATGTCTACTCAAATGTAAGACTCACTAAATACTCTCAAGTAAGGCTGCAAACCTAAGCATGTCTACTCAGAATTAAGTCCCACTGAATTCAATGTGGTTATCTGCCAGGTAAGTACGGCTGGGATTGCAGCCCAAGCATGTGTAAGACTGCAACCTAAAAGTGTCTCTATTTAAATAATAATAATTAAAGCAATACTTTCTGCATTAGGACTTGAAAAAGCCAAGCACATCTAGCTGTGAGAAGTCTACAAACCCAAGCCGAGTAACAAATTTGTCTGGCTGGCATCCAAATGTGCCTTTCAGACCTTTCTAAACATCTGCAATGAACTTCATGGTCATTGATTTGGTATTTCAGGAATCTGGAGTTGTGTCGTTTGGCGCCAAATGTGTGACAATAAGACCGTGACTTCAAAGGGGAGCCTCTCACCCAATGAGATGTTCTATCCCCTCTTTCCCCTGGATGAAGTAGCCAACCAATCAGTAGATAGCAATATGTCTTATCTATTTGCACAGGCTTAATAGCAATTGCTCGCTTGTCGGCTGATACAGCTGCCTCCATTTCTCTGCCAGCTAGAGGTGACCACTAAAAAAAGTTTCAAGAGACTCTTATCAAGTGTATACATTCTATCACCACCAAATAACCATAGAAAACTGCCTTATTCCAAATCAGATCATTGGTCAACCTGGCCCATAATTTTTCAACACTGACTAGCAGTGGCTCTCCAGGGTTTCAGATAGGGGTCTCGCTTCCACCCTCAAATCTGGAGATGCTGGGAAGCTTCTGCATGCAAAGGATGTAGTCTGACACAAGGGATGTAAGAAGGCATCATTTTCTATTCTGCCCTTTATTCATCGCTAGCAGAACTGTTTCCACTATGCTGCAGTTCATCTTCTGCCAGAATTGATGCTATTTATCTCACATTCTTCTGTGGCGTAAGTATGTAACTTACATAATTTATTCAATTCAATATGTCAGTTATTATGTTATTCCATGCAAAGGAAATGCAATGCAAATGAGGACAATACATAATCAATGATGTATTATTTGCAGATCGAAAGAAGCAGCAGCAGCAACAACAGTGAATACTAATCATATTCATTGGTTTGATTTCTGTTGTGTACATGAATAAGTAAACATTAGTAATCTCCACTACCATTTCTATTTTCATTGGAATTATTTGACATCCTTATCTCGCAGTTAGCTTTTTACCTTCCCCTTGTATGTTCCTAAATTAGGGGTGCTGCTCTCAGACTTACTTTGGACCCCCCAGTCCATCTTTTTCAATATTAGTTCTCAGATAAAATCTGACATCTCAACCACTACTACTGCTTCTATTTGGATTCCCTGTTCCACAAATACCCCAGCACAGATGCCTGCATTTTTTTAAAAACAAGATTCTGGGCAACTTCCAAAAACCATTGTTGGAAGTGGGGAGGAAGGGGGAGCACTGATGTTGGCATGCCCTTCTCTCGCTAGATAGGGTGGGTGCCTGTAGAAAGTGGAGCCCTTTGTCTGCATTTACAATGGGCCATAAGAACCTCGAATCCTATGGCATTCATGCCCATGACCTTTTTGAAGTTACCTCTCCAGTTAATTAATAACACTCACACTAATTGCATAGAACAAAAGGAAAAGACCTCATCAGCATTCTTGCTTCCATCTGGGGGTGGGGAGGGAATCTTGGACTCTGTGAGAAGCACATACAAGCCCCCCAAAACTGCCCCCCCATTGATGTGGTATCGTGCATGGGAAATGTGCTATTCATTTGGAGGCTTTTTATGTACTGAAGCAAATCAGTTAGAAATTGCTTTGATGATATCTTCGTGTGTGAACTGGAGGTCGGAGACATTGCAGCGTGTGGGGATTTCTTGCTTTGAGATCCAACATGAAACATCGGCCTGAGCTGAATGTTATTCCATGATTGTTCAGGTGGATAATAGACTCTATAGCCAACATTCCTTCAGTTAGTTAATACCTTGAAAGATTAGCTGGCCATAAATCAAAGGCTTTTACCATATTGCAGGCCACTTTTGAGAGCCCGTGGACTGTTGGCTTTGTGCAGAACAGCTTTTTCTACTTCAAAACCTTTTTACTACCCTTTTGGGTTTCACTTTGCAAACCTCCAGGCTCATTCACACAATCACTAGTGGGAAATCCTATGCATAAGTTGGGGGGAGGGTTCTGCTTCGTGTGTGTGTGTGTGTGTGTGTGTGTGTGTGTGTGTGTGTGTGATTAAAGCTTTGGCACCATCCTTTAGTCTGCACATTTTGCTGCAGGGGTAGCCAATACGGCTCCCTCCAGATAGTTTGTTGGCATTCCAATTCCATCTGCTCCATCCAGCATGGCCAATGGTCAGGGCAAATGAAAGGCACAGTCCAACATATAGAGGGCACCACGTTGGCTGCCCTTGCTCTGCTCTAACTAAGGATGCTTGCAGAATTCATTCTGCATGACTTCTGATCTGCACCTTGCAAACTAATATACAGATTGGAATGTGGTTATCCTGTGACACAGTTAGAAATGGATGAATACCAGTTTCTGGGAACTGCAGGTGGAGAGAGTTGCTGTTTTGCTCATGTCCAGCTTGCAGGCTCCCTGCAGGCATCTGCCTGGCCATTGTGAGAATCGGATGCTGGACCAGATGGGCCACTGGGCTGGTCTACAAGGTTCATCTTATCTTCTTACGAACCTCTTTATTTGGCTTTCTTTCACTTTCTCATTTTTGCAGCCTTAAATTCAGTTCGCTATATTTCCATATCAGTTTGTGAATTCTTTTTCAAATGTCCTCATGAAAATTCACCAGGATTTTAGTGTGAATTCATTGGAAGATACACATATTTGCATGTGATTTGACTCAATATACACCTTTTTTTGCAGAACTGTTTCTCCTAATATAATGCAAAATTTGGAGAAGTGTGCGTTTTGGAGGACAGTTCTTTTTCGGTTTGTATATTGCTTAAGAAAGTGTGAATTTGGTGGCTCTACCTTTAAATGCAAAACAGAATCAAATTTCTCCTTCACTCCTAGGTACAGTACTAAGGTGCACATAAAAATGCATGTTTTAGGATAAAACATGGTTATAAATGCATATTTTTGTGAAGATTCTTCAAAAAGTACATACTGTAATACCAATTTTAATGCAGGGTTGTTGTTTTAAAGTAGCAGATTCATGCAGAAATGGAATGCAACAGACTTAGGGAATGAAAATATCTGAAAAACCAGAAAGAGAATGCTTAACCCTCCCTAACTGTAACAAGCTTAAGCCCATGTAATGGGGGTGGAGTGGGGTAGAAATTTATATCCCTATCTACCCTTACTTCCATCTTCTTCTCCCCCTGTGCTGAAATTTAGATTGCAAGGTCCTAGAGGCAGGGACCTCCCCTCTTATTCTTTGTAAAGTGCCATGCACACTGATGATGCCCAACAAACAACAACAATAATGCATTTATGATGTAACACATGACACAGTATTTGTGTGGGCATAGATCTGATGGGGTTTGTGTCTACTCCCTGCAAATTCTTCCCCCATAAAAAGGGTGGATATACTGCTGGAATCAAGCGCATGTGATGTACATGCATGTGGGCCTTCTCTGCACTTGATGCACTGGACCGTTGGCGATGATGGTGTGAAATGGCCTTCAGTAATTTCACATGTATTTCTGCAGCAGTACTGTATGAATCCTACCACCTTGCTGAAGCTGTGCAAACTGGAAGAGGCATAGCATAGGAACCTATGCTGATTCAGATTCATTGGTCCCTCTGGCTCAGTACTGTCCACACTGATGGGCAGCAGCTATCCAGCATTTCATGCAGAGGGCATTCCCAATTCTACTTAGAGATGCTGGGGATTGAACCTAGAACCTTCTGCATGCAAAGCAGATGCTCCCTCGGTCTGGTCAGTGCCTGGGCTTTTGACTACTGGGTACCACATGCTTTGGGTTCTGTGATGGAAAAATGTGGGATATAAATGTAAGCAAAACAATACATATACTAAAATTAAAGTCCCCCCTCCTTCTCCCTGTACCTGACTGATATTTGAGAAAACAAGGCACCACTCCTGACTAGTGTAAGTCACTCTTTGCTCCACCTAGCTCAGGACCCCATCCCTCCCTGAAACTTTCCAGGTAAAAGTGCAGCATGGCTTGCTGAGGAGAGAAAAAGTGATTAAAATAAAAATAAGCTGGAGAAACAAAAATACTTTCACAAGTCAGCAAAAGCAAGCTACCAAAGGTGTTTGTAGAAGCTCCATAAAATGTGCAGGAATCCCAGAGATTGCCTAGGACAGACTTCCTCAACCTCAGCCCTCCAGATGTTTTTGAGACTACAATTCCCAGCATCCCTGACCACTGGTCCTGGTAGCTAGGGATCATGGAAGTTGTAGGCCAAAAATATCTGGAGGGCCGAGGTTGAGGAAGCCTGGCCTAGGAGCTCCTCCAGCCACAGACTTGAATCTGGGGCCTTCTGAGCTGTGTGTAAGTGGTGCTGGGTTCTTTCCTCCAAACCCTCTAAGAAGACAATTACAAATAAATAAATAAATAAATAAATAAATAAATAAATAAATAAATCCACTTACTTCGCCCATGCTTCTGTTTGCTGTTGAGGACAATCTGTACAATAGTCCCAGAGGCCTGTTGCATATCTGGCAGGGCTCCTCTGTTACTTCTGCCACCAGGGGCCCGTGGAATGCTGGCTGGCTGTCGGGAATTGCTGGGTGGAGGGTCATAATGGGAGCGATGAGGAGAGTGCCTCTGCATGAAAGAGAGAGAAAGAGAGAGAGAAACCCTCTGAGAACAGGAATAGGAGAGCTTCATGAGACTGAAGGTTTTAGAAGAACAATCTTATGACCTCTGTTATGGAGCCTCTGTTGTCAGGACCACATTCCATGAGGGTAGCTCTGTCCACGGGTGCCTCCAGACTGTTGGTATTTTGCAGGAAGGAACTTTAGGCTTGTGCCTTTAAAGTGGATTAATGTGCTCAGTTGCCCTAGCATGACAAACCCATTCCACAAAAGAAACAGACTTTGCAGTTAGGAAAGTAATGGGGAAAGGCATTGCGAAGTGTGGGGTGAACTAATGATTAATGGGAAGAAGTTTAAATGCCACTTAAGTAAATCAGGATGAATGCTGGATGAATTTGCTTTGTTGAAAAACCTCCCAGCAAACAAAACATAACAAATGCTTGGGAAAGACTGGGTACAATCGGAGCTCCTTGCAGGCTTTGTGCAAGGATCCATGCTGGCTGGGGCTAATGGGAATTGGAGTCCAGCAACATCAAGATGCTAAATGGAAATGTCTTCACATAAACAGCATGTCTTCACTGTACTCTTTTTGGTGCCTGCTAAAACATTTTTGCTTCAGCAAGCATACCTAGATGTATAATAATGATAATGATGGTGATGATGATGATGATGATGATGATGATGATTTTATTATTATTTATACCCCGCCCATTTGGATGGGTTTTCCCAGCCACTCTGGGTGGCTTACAGCCCATCTAAAAACATCAAGCATTAAAAATTTCCCAGTACAGGGCTGCCTTCAGATGTCTTCTAAAAGTTGTGTAATCCTTTATCTCCTTAACATCTGAAGGGAGGGCGTTTCACAGGAAGGGTGCCACTACCGAGAAGGCCTTCTGATCATTTCCCTGTAGAAGACTGACGCATGTTTTAATCTGGTTTTTAGCTTATTGCAGATTTTAATTATGTTTTGAATGTTTTAAACAGTTGTTTTTAACTGTTCCATTTATTTATTTTTTTCATGATTTTCTTAATACATTTTATTGCAAACTACTTTGAAGTTTTATTGCAATCAAGTGGCATATAAATCTTGCGAAATAAATAAACACTAACAACAGCTATACCTGGAGGGCCACAGGTATGCACCTACCCATGCACCAATACCGTTAGTACAGAATAAGTACAACCTCTTCTTCTCTTGGACTTCAACCATAATCCACTTTTGGGGATGTTGGGAAGCTTTTCAGGGAAGAATAACGCAGCTGCCTGCCCTACTTATCTCCAGGCAAGGCTACCATATGCATAGGCTAGCACACAACAAGCTACTTTCATAAGTGCTTTCCTATGGATGGAGTCTAACACACCTAAATCTCAGCCTATGATGATTTTGCCCATAACTGTCATAGATACTTCACAAATGCATTTTGCTAAAGCTCTAAATATCACATAGGGATGGCTCTGGAGTTACAGGAGCTCTCGATAAAGTATTGTCTGGCAAGTCCCAATAGGGTTTATGGTTTGGTGATGCAGTACTGGTGGCCAACCCAAATGGCCAATGAAGAATCTTCCATGTTTTTTGTGTGTTTAAAATGGTGATCATTTCTTCCTGGTAATGTCCTGGAAACTGTTCTAACTTCATTGGTGTTGTTGGGTGGAGGAGATGGTGGCAGCTGGGAGATGGTATGAGCATTTTTTTAAAAGACAAAAAAGAGTCCAGGGCAGGGATCAGTTATTTGCTCTAACACACGGGGTTGTCAGATTCTCCCCCTTGTCAGATTAGGTAGTAATTTGGGGTTCCTTTCCATTTCTTGCAGAGTTGAGGGCACTTGAGTCCATTGATTCTAGTGGACTTAGGTTTGCCTAAATCTGTTTTGGATTACAGCCATTATTTTGAGCAACGAAAACATTCATTCTCTCCACCCCCCCTCACCCCCCCTCTCTCTTTCACACACACACACACACACACACACAGAGGCATTTGTTTGTTTTTGTTAGGTTTTGCTCCTCACATTTCAAAATACTGAGCTTTCATTTCAAATTACTCTGTTGTAACAATCAGTTCTGCTGGACTGAATATCTGACAGTTTGGTTTCATAATACAGACACCAAAATCATTACAGACCCAGATTTAGTTCCTCAGAATGAGTTGGATATACACACTCCGAGCAAGGACTTTGCTCCAAACTTCTGTAGCCCTGCGGCTGTGGTTGGGGAAGCATTCTTTATCATCACTGGCCAGAGGTCAAAGAGCTGTTGGGGAGTTCTGCTACCTCCATCTCAGCAAGAAGGCCAACACAGGAAGGGGAACAGCAACAGCTCATTAGTAGAGCATCTGTTTTGCATGCAGACGGTTCCAAGTTCAATCCCTGGTGTCCCCAGGTAGGGCTGGGAAGGTCCTTATTCCAAAATCCTGAAGAACCACTTCCAATCCTAAGATCAGCCTGTCCCCAACTGCACACAGAGTCATGAAGTTGGAAAGTACTTGGAATGCCACCTAGCCCCCACCTCCTGCATTTCTGCCAATGCAGAAAATCTGCTGCTACCACATCACAGATTGGTGGCCACCCAGTTTCTGTTTAATAGCCTCTGACAAAGGAGAGCCCACCACCTTCTGAGGCTGTCTGTTCCATTTTCTGCTTTTGACCTTTGAAATTTATCACTCTACCGCTGCACTCCACCCCAAAAGTCTCCCCAAACGCTTGCTGATTCAGTGGCCACAGAAATGGATATAGACGCTGTTCTGATTAGCAATTCAGTATACTCCAACCACAGAAAATAAGCAACTGTTTATGTTTCCTTCACTGCTAATTCTTTTTCTTAAACAAAGGATGTTTTCTCCCCTTCCCTCCTCCCCAGATACATGAGATATACTCATGCCCTTGATTGCATTTCAACTATTCATGGGCTAAATTTTTTTTGATAGATTTTCTTTGTCTTTTTTTTCCAGGAAAAGAAAGCCAGGCCTCTTCCAGTTTCAAGCCAGTGAGCTTCAAAACGAGCTTTAAGTTTTCTATCAATTTAGTCCATGCTTCAACTACCAGAGGACATTTCAATCATAAAGATAAGTCTCACTACTATGAAAACATCTGCAAGAAATTCCCCCTTTGAAACAGGATGGGTGTGAAATGAACAAAACACACAACAGCCTTGGGTGTGTGCACAACTCAGTAGGAAAGTTCTGTTTCTTTTGATGAGATCATGGACTTCACTTACAGCTTCTCTGTTGGCTGGTTGCCGAAAGATGTCACCATCCGAGTTGTCCCACGAAGACTCCCTGTCTCCTGTAGTCAAGAGACAATGATGTCAAGAATTACTGGGGCCATTTGTGATCCCCACCCTGATGTCCCTGTGTGTATTGAAAGTGAAGATATCAACATGGAGGAGTTATATTCAAATGATAGCCTGAGGACATCTCTATGGAGCTTTCTACTGTTTAACTAAACTGGAAACAGAACTGTCCTAAATTCTGAAACAGCCTCAGCCTCACTGTTGAATAAGAGAATTGACTTTTGGCATGTTTCTGGGGTTCTGGGGCTCCAGGTCTTCATGGTTTCCAGGCTCAGGTTTAATATCAGGACTTGGGCCACACACTTCTGCATCTAGTTCTGATGACTAGAAGTGCTTGCAGATTTCAAAGCACACCAACCTGGTGTGCCACTTTAAACAGTCATGGCTTCCCCTAAAGTTCTGGGAGCTGTTCTTTGTTAAGGGTGCTGAGAGTTGTTGGCAGACCCTTGTTCCCGTCACAGAGCTACAAGTCCCAAAGTTGTTTTGCCAATCAATTCCTCTTCCTAGGAAACTGTGTTGACAACTAAGTATTGTGATTTCTGCATTACAGGGGGTTGGGCTAGATGACCCTTGGGATGCCTTCCAACTCTACAGTTATCTACAGTGGTACCTCGGGTTAAGTACTTAATTCATTCCGGAGGTCCGTTCTTAACCTGAAACTGTTCTTAACCTGAAGCACCACTTTAGCTAATGGGGTCTTCTGCTGCCACTGCGCAATTTCTGTTCTCATCCTGAAGCAAAGTTCTTAACCTGAAGCACTATTTCTGGGTTAGCGGAGTCTGTAACCTGAAGCGTATGTAACCTGAGGTACCACTGTAATGCTATGACACTACTTAGCTAGGTGGACCAATAGTCTGGCTTATTGGCAAGGCAGGTTCCTGTGTAAAAGTAACTTTAGGGGAAGGATCATAGCTCAGTGCTTAGAGCTTTCTCAACATCTTCAGGTAGGGTTGCAAAACAGACCCCTGTCTGAAACTCTGGCTGGCTGTTGTCAGTGTCAACAGAACTGAGGTCAATGGACCAGTGGTTTGACTCAGTATAAGGTATCTTCCTTATACTTATGTTCCTAAGTTTCCTTCTACCTTAGTGGGAGTTGCTGATAAGGCTGCCCCAGCTACAGTAGTCATGCTGATGAATTCAGTGTCTGAAGAAAACAGTGACATTCCAGCTGCCTGAATGCCATGCTTAATTGTCGAGCTCTTTCAAGACATGGGCAGGTTGGGCTTGGCATGTAAGAAATTGCATACATATATATATTACCTCTGCAAACTGGGCAGCACGATTCTGGTGTGGACACTGGAGACGTGCAAGTTAATTTGGGACATGTCTTCAAGCCACAGTATACATTTCCTTCCTGCCATTAAACACACACACACACAAACACAAAAAGATAAAAGTAGGGCTAGTTAGTGCATGATGCAGGCGCACAGATTCAAATGGCAGATGGTTGCCATAACAGCAAAACAATCCCATGCGCATTCTTTACCTTTTATGAAGCGTTATTTAATTGCAACAAAGCTTAAAATGATGAGCTGCTGTCTCTCTCTATATATATCAAAGCTCTGGAATCCTCATAATGCTCTCATGTCACTGACCTCTCAAATAATCAGATGTAGAGGAGGACTGAGAATCTCAGTAGCAGGAAGAGGTGCATCCTACCTATTACCTTCAGCACTATGAAATGTGTGACAGGCTGAAACTGCCCAGTTGCCTTATTCTTGTGACTTTCAAAAAGTTCTTTTGGGCGGGATGGGGCACTGGAGTTTCTTTGAAGATTATAAATTCCTTAAAACAGGGATGGGGGACATGTGGCTTTCCAGATGTTGGACTACCAACCTCCATCAACCCCATCCAGCATGGTCAATGGTCAGGGATGATGGGGCTTGTAGTGTGGCAATGCCTGCTCCATCACAGGTTCTGCAGCCCACCTGATAACTATTTCTGAGAAATGTTCCATGTTGGATACCTCATCTTTTAAAATAGAGAATGGAGCAAAGAATCTCACTGGTTCAAAACCAGAGATCAAAGTGACTTACAAAGGATATATATTGCTCTCCTCACCCAACTGGAGAAGCTGTGTCATAAATAGTTGAAGCCTTGGCAATGCATTCACTGATTCAGTTACTTGACAGTGTCCCTGCTCCATTTCCCTTCTATTATTAATAACATCAATAAATTTATTAGTCACTTATTTGCCACAGTAACTCAAAGTGACTTGCAACATTTTAAGCAAAAAAACAAATGCACACATTAAAATCAGCATTAAAAAACCAGCCTACATTAAACATCCTACCCACAAAAAAGGTCATAGGTATTTGAAAGCCAAAGGCCTGATTAAAGACGAATGATTTTGTCTTGGGTTGGAATATATGCAACAATGGTGCCAGGTGAGTTTCCCTCAGCAAACTATTCCACAAGTGTGCAGGCAGAACTGAGAAGGCCTGGTTCTCATATTGCCACTGTCCAGACCTCCTGTAGCAGGAGCGCATGTAGAAAGGCCTCAGATGACAAATTGCAGGGGCTGGGTTGGTTCACATGGGGAGGGAAGGTCCTTGAGGTATTGAGGACCCGAGCTACATAAGACTTTATAGGTCAAAACCAGCATTTTGAAGTGGGCCCAGAGACTAATTGGTAGCTGGTACAGTCAAGCCAGGATTGGTGTTATGTGCTCAGATGTGACTGAAGTTTGAATGTAATGTTCTGCAGGTTTTGCTGAAGTTGACTGATGTCATTCTGTTATAAAACTAATAAAATATTTCACACACACGAAAATAATTCTCCCCAGACCACACACCTTCTCCTGGTTCAACTTTGTACCCTGAGTATTTTTGCCTGGTTGGAATGCGTCCTTGAACTCTGATAATTCTTCTTGCTTGTCTGGATGGAGATGAGTGGAAACTAGCCTACTGTGCAAATGTAAAATTAAAATTCCTTGGCTTGCATTTGCCTCTGGCCCTGCCCACCATTGGCACAAAGCCCTTGGAAAGTTGCTCTGAAGGGAATGGGCCACAACACTGGTTTAACACAATCATGTGACTTACGGAACAGCTGCACTGGGCACACTGGTTGGCTTGTCTGTTCTGGAAGAGCCCCTCTGCCACAAACATCTCCCCGTGGTAGTAGGTTGTGCCATTGTACTCACAGGACTTCCGGGTTATCTTACTGCCAGTAGAAAAAAGCGAATCATCTGCAAGAGGGCAGGAAGAAGAGGCAATTTACAAAACAAAGTTATCTCATGTGTCTCCTCTGGTGTGGCAGGTAGAAGGGCTTCCCAACTCACAGAGGGAACATTCTGCTCTCGCTCTGCCTGGATCCCTGCTCAACTCTCCCAACAGGGTAGTAATGGCAGATTAATCCCCCAGAGATAGACTGCCTTATCTCTTAGATCTGTTGTCTCATTTTCATTAAGAACATCAGAAGAACCCTGCTGCATCACGCCAAGTCCCACCTAGTCCATCACTCAGTTCTCACAGTGGCCAGCACCAGGGTTCAAACCAGGGTTCCCTTGGGCAATCAGGAAGAACACCACCAGCTAAATCGGGGTACCAGCGTGGTGTCCTCCAGACATTTTTGGACTTTGGCTCCCATCATGTCAGGCATATGGAGAAGCGGAAGAACCAGATGGGTCTAATATGGTACTGGTGCCCCAGCTCTGGAACACTCTCCTAGAAGCATGGATAGTCACAAGTCTGTTGGGAGTTCAATGTTCAATGGAAGTTTGCTTGCTCTTTCTAGCTTTCGGGAACTATGGTTTAGAGCCTCGAATCAGTTTTGTTTTGTAGTGCTAATTTTGTGGTTCTGTAATTTATATTGATATTGCTTATATTTTGCTGCCCTCTCAGCTGTATTCTGTGGTTTGCAATTTATATGATTTTTTAAAAAAAAATGTAAACTGCATTTTTGAGGTCACTTGTGACAAAAAGCACATTAAATTAAAGAAGTGAATCATAGAATTCTTAGAATCAAAGAGTTGGAAGGGACCACAAGGATCATCTAGTCCAACTCCCAGCAATGCAGGAATCTTTCACCCAGCATGGGGCTTGAACCCTCAACCATGAGCTATCATGCCTGTCCATTGGCCCTGCTGGCTGAGGTTGATGGGTGCTATAGTTGAAATGCACTAGGCTGGCTTCATTAACAGATCTTAGCATGGCAATGAAAGACCCCCTTTTGAGACCCTTGTTAAAGGCCAGCCAAAGTGTTACCCTCCAGAAGTTGGCAAATGAAAGCTCCCATCATCATTGTTCATGATGTCTGGAGCTGATGGCAGCTGTAGTCCATGACATCTGGAGGGCACCATTTTGGCTACCTCTGTCGTAGAACCACTGTGTGTCACAGCAGGCAATACAAGGCTAGTTGGACCAGGGGTTCAATCGTCCCACCTGTTCATTTGAGTTTGTGTCTCTGAGGACGTCACAGAATAGAATTCTGGTTTTAATAACCTCAAGCAGCCACTTATTCCTTGCTAGTTCATGCTCAATCTCTGTGTTAGTTCATACTCAATCTCAGCATCTCCAGGTATGGCTGGGAATGTTTCCAGCCTGAAATCCTGGAGAACTTCTGCCAATCAGTACAGACAAGACTGAGTTGGATTAGCCCATGGTCTGACTCAGTATACAGCATTTTTCTATGTTTCCTAATTTCTGTTCGATGTGCTTCTAGAGCATAGGATTAGTTAGCCTCCCCTACACACTGGAAATATTATACGTTTGCTTTCATGCACAGCCATTTGAAATAAAAGCTTTATGTAGCACTAAGAACAAAGTGTTTGTTTGTTAGAACTGAAATAATGTTGGCATGCAAGGAATTCATTGGGTTTGGAGGCCCAGTGCAAAAAGATGCCCCCCCCCCAATTGGGTTTCCTTGACCTCCAGAATTCACGGGTGACTGCAGTTCTTTTACATCAGTGGCATAAAATCATGTAAAAAGAAACTCTCCATAATTATTGTGCTACTGAGGAATGCATGAGGGTTTTTTGGGGTTTTTTCCCCCTCCTTCTTCTTCATTTGTTAAGCTGGGCACTCAACCAAGGGAGCAAGAGGTTTCAGGTTTTAGGCATATGAGCTAAACAGTGACATTTGGAGGGCTCTGTGAACCATTTACTTTGTCATGCGGGCACCTCAAAGCCTTTGAACCACCTTCTGAAGTAACAGGAAAAGTAAATGCCAGGACCTCTGTGTTGTACAGTATGCACAAAATCCAAACAGCTTACAGCCTCACATGCCTACTTGATCTCCTAAATCCTAGATGGCTCCTTTTGTTATCTATATGTCCCTGGTGCATTTTTACTACCACACATCTCATGCACGAAATATTAAAATATTCAGCACTTTGAAAGCCAGAATCATGCCACTCAGTACATGTAAAAGGGTCATATAGAGCTATACTATGAAATACAAAAATGGTGCACAGTGTGAAAATAGATATGGGGTTCAGGGGACACCTCTCTTAAGATATTTTAAAGCTAAAATGGCACTCAGGCAAGGGCAAACAGGAGCAAGTGCAACTCAGGTGTAGAGTTCCCACCCGCCGGACTGGTGAGGGGTTTTTTTGCAGGTGTAATTCAGCAATGTAATTGGCACAACTATAGTGGATTAGTTGTGGATTTATACAGGATCACACACACAGTTCTGCTTTATCAGCAATGCTTCCCCAATGTTACTGTATTACAGCTACCTGGACAGGGACTCTTGAACTATAGCGCAACAAAAGTGAGACAATAAATAAATCAGAATGTTTGCGTTATGAAAAGTTACAGCATTTCAGGAAAACTGCAGGACATGCCCCGCTTAAAAGGAAACAGCATTACTGTCCCAAAACCTTTTCACTGCAAACATTTTTGAAAACAGGAGCGCCTATATACCACCATAATACCACCATGAGGACAAATCTTCATAAATGTATTATGAGTGTTGGATGTTCATGGGTTTGGTTGATCCTCTGACTTACTCAGGGAACAGACTTGCTCAAAATTTACTCTAACTTTTATTTTCTTCAATCCTGGTTGATAAATGCAATGTATATCCTTTTCGAAGAGGTAACAGGGAAATGGAAGGAATCTGATGCTAGAAAAATTGTATTTGCCTGACGAATCTTTTTAAATTTCTAAATGACAATACAATTAAAATAGCAAAAGGTTTAAACACTGAAAGAAGAAATGATATTTGAACCAGGAGCATAAACTCCTCGAATGAAAGAAAAAAACACTCCTGATTTTTTTTCTAAAAGGGGAGTTTGTTTTTTTACTAATTAACATCAGAGCTACTGGGCAATGTTATTTTCAAAGCTGACGGGAAACTTTCCAAGGATTTAAACGTGCTTTGAAGCAAATGGGGAATCCATCTGCCGATAAATCGAACCCTAGCAGTTCCAGCCTCAAATCCTTCAGCATGCTGTAATTTAATATTTAAATAAAATACAAAGTTATTTGGGTGAGAGCCCAAGATTTGCTTTCTAGAGTCAACTCACTGGGTTACTTTTTCAGCAGTGGCTGAGAGCAATGAGACAGGATTGGGAAGCGATCCAGCATCAAGCAACTGCAAATGTGGATGCTAACTGCCTCCATATGTGCAGCCTTAAGGCGCAGGTGTCAAACACATTATGCTACCCAATGCTTTTTGAAAGCAACTTCAAGGGCTCCGTTAAGCTTGCAAAAGCCAATCTATTCCAGCAACTTGTCCTTTAACACAGCCAGCCAGTAGCACACGCAAGATCACCCACCGCTTGGAGTGATTAAACCAGTGTGCGGGACTTGGCCAACCCAACTGTATCAAGTTATTGGTGACGTTTCAGTTCTGATGCTCAGGTTTCTTCAAGCTTTTCCTCCTCAATGGTTTAATGTTTGTGGGTGCACATGTGGCTTAATTTCCTGTGTTTTTCTTTTTATAGTGGTCTAAATAAATCATTCAAGGAGAGCAAGAGGAAGCCTCCATTTCAATTTGCCCCTAGAGGAGGCACGTCCAACAGGTAGATCGTTATCTACCGGTAGATCACTGGACGTCTGTGGCAGATCACTGGCAGATCACTGGCTTCCCCCAAGGAAGCTCAACAACTTTGGCTCCCCTAAAAGAAAGCTCAACAACCTTGACCTGAATCCCAGTTTTTAACCACAGTCTCTTGGGAGTTGGCCACCCCTGCCCTAGAGCATAGAAGATTCCAAGCAGATTCCATGGGGAAGATTCCACCTTGAACTAGCGATAGGGAAGGCCATCCTCTCAGTCCCACCACCCTCACAGATGTGCTTGGTGGGGACATGGGAGAGGACCTTCTCAGTGGCTGCTCCCAGACTCTGCACCAAAAGCAGCACAGCAAAGTCACCTATGTAATGTCCAAAGGCAAGGAGTCCCACAGTATCAATGCTGCCACACTGAAGGATTGTTGCCTTGCAGCAAACATTATATGGCACTTGGAAAAGTCCCAGTTCTATAGATCAAAGTGGACATACATGTGGTAAGGTGATCCTTTAAAAAAAAAAAAAAGCTTGTTCCCTTAAGCTGTTAAGGGCTTTACATTTCAACATTAACACCTTGACTTTGGCCTGGTAATGAATTGGCAGCCAACATCACTTTCAGGGCAGAGGTGTAATATGCTGGCAGGGTCTCACTCCTGTAGGCAATATTTAAAAAGCAATTTAAGCCACCCAAGAGCAGCTCCTGGTGCCGCCTGCATTATTTAAAAGAAGTACCTCCTTTTCTCAGTCGCACAGACTTCTAAGCTGAGGCTTGGAAGGACAAACATACAATGACTAAAAGCAAAGCACACAATCACTGCTCCTCTCAGTGCTTGGCCACTCCAAGAAGGTGGGTGAGCAGAGAGGAAAAAACAAGGAGGATGAGTTGGGTCAGGAAGCTCCAGAGATCAGCGGTGGAGCCCCTGTTGGGATGTGCGCCACAGTCGGTGCCCAATGGTGATAAGTTCCTAGTAAAAAGTGCCCCTTGTCTAGGAATGGGCCTAAAGGCATCCTCCATATTGAGCCAGTTTGTCATGAGATGGAACTAAAGTTTGTACCCTCTTATTTCAATGCAGGTTTTAAAGGAAAATTAATATAAATACTTTAAAATATGCATGGAACACGTTTATGTAAGAAAAGAAAAGGTTGTCTAAAGGCTGCCTATCTGACTTCTTTTGCTGTTTTACGAAGTGATTTCTGTTCCCCAAGAGCAGCTGTTGTCTTATAGTTAAAGCTATGGTTTTCCCAGTACAGTGGCACCTCAGGTTACATACGCTTCAGGTTACAGACTCCGCTAACCCAGAAATAGTACCTCGGGTTAAGAACTTTGCTTCAGGATGAGAACAGAAATCGTGCAGCGGCAGCGCAGTGGCAGTGGGAGGCCCCATTAGCTAAAGTGGTGCTTCAGGTTAAGAACAGTTTCAGGTTAAGAATGGACCTCCGAAACGAATTAAGTTCTTACCCCGAAGTACCATTGTAGTGATGTATGGAAGTGAGAACTGGACCATAAAGAAGGCTGATCGCCGAAGAATTGATGCTTCTGAATTATGGTACTGGAGGAGACTCTTGAGAGTCCCATGGACTGCAAGAAGATCAAACCTATCCACTCTTAAGGAAATCAGCCCTGAGTGCTCACTGGAAGGACAGATCCTGAAGCTGAGGCTCCAATACTTTGGCCACCTCATGAGAAGAGAAGACTCCCTGGAAAAGACCCTGATGTTGGGAGACCCTGCACAAGGAGAAGGGGACGACAGAGGACAAGATGGTTGGACGGTGTTCTTGAAGCTACAAACATGAGTCTGACCAATCTGCGGGAGGCAGTGGAAGACAGGAGGGCCTGGCGTGCTCTGGTCCATGGGGTCACAAAGAGTCGGACACCACTAAACGACTAAACAACAGCAACAACAACAACCAGAGCAGCTAGCTAGCTTATGGGGCTCCTGATGCCGGGACACACATTGAAATCAATGTAGCAAGTTCCCTGAGAGTGACAGGTTTTGATGATGTGTTGTCACTCTCAGGGTGGGATTTATGTATTTAGCATATATACATATTTTATGTTCAATTTCCCTTTAGTCTTAGAGCAAATGGAATGCAAAATACATGAAGTTTACGTGAAATATGTAAAAAAATTCCCCCTTAGAGCACATCGTTAAGATCATTTGCTCCCAGCAGATCTTGCCATGTTGATTTCAGTGCATATGACAGCAGGAGCCACATGCACTAGATAGCTGCTTGTAGGTGGCTAAAATTAGTTGTTAAAGATTGACAGCAGGAGTGAAACCTTGCCAGCATATTACATGTCAGCTTCAAGAGCTGCTCTGGCTGCCAGTTTGTTACCTGGCCAAAGTCAATGTGTTACTACTGGTATATAAAGCCCTTAACAGCTTGAGGGGCACCTTTCGAGCCAATCCAATCAAAGGGCGACTAATCCATTAAACATTGCAGCAATCATAATCATGCTGCTAATTTACTGCCTTTACCAGGAGCTGGAATCTCTGTATGGCTACCCCATGTGGTGAGTCACTGAACTGCAGGTGACAGCCTTCTCAGTGAAAAGCTTTCTGGGCTGACTCTGCGGGTACTCCTACCGGAAGCTGCTCTTAGCCCCTGATGGACCCCAATGCCTTTGAAATGGATAAGCAGATTCAATGTGGGGAATTTTTGGCCAGGGTTGTGGCAGGCAGAGAAAGAGTGGGACTCACAGTGTTTCCCAAATGTGGGTCTCCAGCTGTTTTTGGACTACACCTCCCATCATCCCTAGCTAGCAAGACCAGTGGTCAGGGATGATGGGAATTGAAGTCCGAAAACAGCCGGGAAACACTGCTCTAGACCCAAGGCACAGCATGTTAATTGCATTTGGGCAACTCACATCATGTCCAGTTTGGCCTTAAATGCCAGTCAAGGAGATGAGAAAGTAAGGATGATTTAGAACCACGCTTTTCAGTGATTGCTGAAACTAATTTTGTCTAGGCAAGTCTATCCAGACACGTAGGTATTGATAGGTTTTTTTTATCATCTTTAAAGGTTTTCCATTTTTCTTAACTGATTTCATTGATGATTTTAATATTTCTTCTAAACTGCTGAGAAGTTTTACCACAATCAAGCAGTATATACATTTTGTTAAACAAGAACACCAAATGCTACATCCAGTCTCAACTTCTCCTTGTCCTTATATGGGTGATCAAAAACTGTGTCTTATCTGTCCTGCTTTTACTTGCTTTTTTGTTCTTTCCTTACTGGAATAGCAGAAGAATGAAAGGGAGGGGGACTGAAAAGTGAGAAGGAAAACAGGTTGAACTTGAGACGTCCCGAAAAACCATAAATTCACAGGAGTGTGAGCGTAAATATGTAGCTAATCATAAAAAGTTCCTGGAAGGCTGAATATAGTCTGGAGCACAAGCTGAAAAAAGTTCTTGGAGCCAGATGGTCTGACCCACATGGCAAAAGATGGTGGTATCCAGTCAAATATAACTGGAGATCAAAGAAGGTGGAAGAACCAGTGGCAGTGCTAAGGACTGCTGTGTACAGGTCTTATTTATTCCTGTTGGAAATTTGTTTGACTTCACTGTCAAGCAGCCAAGATTTGTTTGTTAGTTGGATTAGTAACACTTAGTTACTTTCAGATGTAAAAATGAAAGCCTGAACACACCTACCATGCTTACAGCAAGTCTCTAAAAGTATGAATGGTATTAATAATAAATCCCATGTGTGACAGTATACATGAAGAGCTAATGATTCATGGGCATGTGCCAAATTTATGGTGATATTTATGAGAAGCTATGGGCAAAAGGTTTCCAAATGGCCTGTGACCAACATAATGTGACCAACATAACACTAGACAATTAATTGATAGGCACCCACAAATAAATGCCTCCTAAGCAAGACCCTGTGCATACCACACTTTGGAGTACCCAAACTTAGCACTAAGCAGGATCGCAAACTTTCTTAGTGCTGGACTCAGGAGAGTGAATGGGCACACTAGGGAGCTCCCTGCAAGGAGCTCTTGGGCACGTCATCATCACAGTAATAGTAATAGTAATTGTTGTTGTTTATACCCCACTCATCTGATTGGGTTTCCAAACTCCACACTGAAAAGGAAAGAAGTCTCCTCCCTTCCCTTTTAAACCCAAACTTGTTGTGATCTTAAAGAGGGATGGAGAGACTCCCAAAACCTTTTCCCTCTCATCCATGTGAAGCCTGATCTTGTTGTGACCTTAAGGGGTGGATGAAGAATCACAAATGTTCTCAAAAGCCTTTGGAAGTCTCCTCTCTTTAAGACTTCAATAAAATTGGGCTTAAAGGGGATGGCGGAGCTTCTTTCTCCTTCCCCATTCAAGCCTGATTTCTCTCTAATGGGAGCAAAAGGTATTCTGATAGGCTCGTGGCCCCGCCCATCTGTGAAATTTGACCCATAAGGGAGATCCTGATAAGGACCTGGCCCATGGGGACAAAAGTGGTTCCCACTGCTGCTCCACATGAATCCACCTATTTAGCCTAGCTAGGGAGAGCTTGCCTTTGCCACATGGATCTTCCCACAGGCAGGAGGAAGCTGAATAAAATTGCCCCCCTCTCTGCTCAGCCTGAGCAGCTGTTTTGGTCTCAGTGGATAAAGATGAAATTCTGCTCACGTGAATTGCTAAACTGGTACAAGAGCCTCTGCTCAGTCCCAGTGTTCAGTCCTGTTCTACATTGGCTGCTATCAGCAACAAAGCAACCCTGTAGCCCTCTGGAGAATGCTGAATAAATACCTCCTTTGCAACCCTGTGTAACTAATACCCTTTTAAAACTGGAAACGGGGAGCTGGAGAGACGGTGGCAGGAGCAGAGGCCAAGCATCAAGCCTGCCAGACGTTAGGCCATGTCGGGAATTTTGCAACAAATCCAAGAGAGATCTCGCTTCGTCTGCATTGTACAGTGGTTCTTAACAATGAGCATATAATAAATGTACAGTCTGCAGGAGTTTATTACGCAGCGTATGACCCAGTTTATATAGCCATAAACATCACCAGCTCTCTGCTTCTCTGATTTACAGTTCCCCAGCCTAATTATGAAGCTATGTTACGTTGCAAGAAAGACTCCAGTTGTATATGGCTTTTATTTAGGGTTACTGCCTCTCCCAGACAACCATTCAACGACAATTTTCTGCTCATTTGGGCATGGGGCCAGCCTTTGATATAGTCTGCCAGTAGGATTTAGAGCAGGACCCTGGGACTGGAGGACAAGGACGAGGATGACATCTTCAGTGCAGGGTGGCTCCCCAGATGTTGCTGACCTGAAACTCCCATCAGTCCTAGCCAACATGCCAAATTGTCAGAGATGGTGGGAGTTGTAGTCCAGTAACATCCAGCAATATATGGACACTGGGCGCCATTTTGAATCACAATCGTGGACCAAAATGTCACTTTGGAATGACTTAGCCTGTTTTCTGATGTAGGTTTGACTGCCTCTCAAAATATCACCACAAAACTCAGCACAAGGGGAGTAGTGGAGGAAGGGGAATGGAGGGGGTGGAGCGCTATGGGTGGCACTGGGGCTGCAGGGCGCCCTCCAGCACGGGATCTGACGTGGGACGCATGTGGTACACAGCCTGCAGAGCTCCAAAGTCACTGCCTCATTTCTGGCCGCCCTCCAGCTGAGGGGGAGGCGGCGGGCAGACTCCCTGCAGGGAGCAGTGTGCCCTCTCCCAGCTTGGCCCCCCCAGTTGGTGGCTAGCCCTATCCCCTGTGCGTGGCGCCTGCGTGCAGGGCATGTGCACTGCCCCTGGCGCCTGAGTGGCTAGCTATGCCACTGCACAAGGGGCCCTGGGATGAAGATGAAGGAGATGTCAATGTATGGGTGCCATTTTGAATCAAGATGGTGGACCAACAATAGGAGGTTTGGCTACCTCTCAAGATATAATTGCCAAACTTGGCATGAGGGTTCCTAAAGTGGGAGCAGCAAACGTCACTGTTGTTTGGATTCCAGGTGTCATTTTGAATCAACATGGCTGACCCAAACATCACCTTGGTGTGACATCACCCATTCCCCCCTGCCCCCGTTTTTTAAAATATAGATTCTTAGAGAGGTTTAACAGCCAATACCTCTTCACAGGGAGCTCCATGGATTGTAGCTCTGTGAGGGAGAATAGTGGTCTCCTAACAAATCTCAGCACCCTTGGCAAACCACAGTTCCCAGAAGACATGCCTGTTTAAAGCAGTACAATAGTACTTTAAATGTATGCTGCATGAATGTGGCCCAGATGGGCCTTTGGCCTGATCCTGCAGTCAGGCTCCTCTTGCATTCTAATAAAATACAATTCTTGGACAAACAGGACAGCACCTAAAAGGTGGATTATAGTGCCAGATAAACAAAAACTGAGTGCTCTGCATGCACAGAGGAACAGCACTATTTGATGTGGGATTTATCTAGCCAGCTTGCTCTGATAAAATGAGCAGAGGCCATATAGAAATGGTACTGACGGCTTGTGGGGAGGGCTAGGCTCCCCTCCAGGCTCCCTCAGCCGGTCATCTCCTGAGAATATGGGCCTCTCTTGTCATAAATGGAGTGTATAACAGCATTTGCTGCATGAAAGCATTCCATTGTTATTTTTAGATGGGGAATTTGTCTGTTTGCTCTGCCCCAGCAGCATCCCAAGCTGAGTGCAGTTAAGGAGCTTTGTTATACTGGAAATAAGACTTTACCTGGACACCGTGGGCAGCAGAGCTGCGGCACATGCACTGGATTGGGGCAATGCAAATTCGGGCACCTTATTCTGTTGCACAACACGTTCCCATTCTGGAGAAATAAGTTGAAGAGAAGAAGGGTTATTTCTGTTCAGCAACCTCAGCATGCTTTACCATCCTGGCCTTGCAATAGCTTTCCCATTTTATGGATGAAGATTCATAAACCAAGCAAGATATCCTCCCTAACTTCAGGCAAGTTCATGTAAAATTCCACTATGGTGAACAAGAAATTGAGCCTGATGTAGAGTTATGCAAATGAATGGGTGGAGTTTATACAGACATTGGTCGTCATGATCCTCAATAACTTCCATTGAATTCTATGGGGCAAAATAATTGGGGTTCAATTTGAGATACCCTTGGGAGCAGGGATGGATTGATGTGCCCATTCAATATCTCCATTCCATTCTGCATTAATCTATGATTTTTTAAAAAATAAAAAATGCATATTTGAATGTATTTTCCCATAAAAGGGACCCCTGACCATTAGGTCCAGTTGCGGACAACTCTGGGGTTGTGGCGCTCATCTTGTTTTACTGGCCAAGGGAGCCGGTGTACAGCTTTTGGGTCATGTGGCCAGCATGACTAAGCCACTTCTGGCGAACCAGAGCAGCGCATGGAAACACAGTTTACCTTCCCGCTGGAGTGGTACCTATTTATCTACTTGCACTTTGATGTGCTTTCGAACTGCTAGGTTTGCAGGAACAGGGACCGAGCAACGGGAGCTCATCCCGTCGCGGGGATTCGAACCACTGACCTTCTGATTGGCAAGCCCTAGGCTCTGTGGTTTAACCCACAGCACCACCCGCATCATAGACACTTCTAAATCCACAGTCCCCAAACACAAATTTTAACATGCATTTTGCTGCATTGTTGAGTCAAGGATTGAGCCGAGGCATGCAAAACCCAAATGATAACTGTGTCCCTCTCTACATATTAGCCAGGGCAGTACAAATCAGGTTACTTCACTTCAAAAGGCAAAACTGAATAACATCTTTTACAGTGGTACCTCGGGTTACAGACACTTCAGGTTACAGACTCTTCTAACCCAGAAATATTACCTCGGGTTAAGAACTTTGCTTCAGGATGAGAACAGAAATCATGTGGCGGAGGCACGGCAGCAGTGGGAGGCCCCATTAGCTAAAGTGGTGCTTCAGGTTAAGAACAGTTTCAGGTTAGGAACAGACCTCTGGAACGAATTAAGTACATAACCAGAGGTACCACTGTAGTTGGATCACTAGCTAAATTGTGAAAATAGCATAGAATTTAGCTAGGTTTATAGCAATCCCTGTGACACATAGCCTGCCCATCATAACAAAGGACATTCCTCTCTTGTGCACAATGGTCACCATCTGGCTGTCAGGGCTGAAAAGCAATAGAATTAGCTTCAAGGAACGTACCTCTGAGCAGAGACAGTTAACGCAGTAGACAATCCCATAAGGCTCTAGGTATGGATGCCACCTTTCGCCTACACGATACTTTTTATCTTGGAACACACAGTAAGTCTCTGAGTCTGCAAAAGAGAAGAGGCCAAGATGTGAAGGGTGAGCAAAGGGGTCTGTGCAAAAGCAGAGTGGGTAACCATCATTTTAGGAACATAGGAAGCTGCTGTATACCAAGTCAGACCATTGGTCCATCTAGCTCAGTATTGTCTACACTGATTGGCAGCAGCTCTCCAGGGTTTCAGGCAGACAGAAGACATCCCCAGTCCTACGTGGAGATGAACTTAGGATCTTCTGAAGGCAAACAGATGCTCTACCCCTGTGCCTCTTGGGGATATCTTACTGTAGAGCTAAACTTCCACATGTTTATTAATTTCTTTAGCAATATTTAAATTCTCCTTAATCCACAAATACCTTCACATGGCTTCCATAACACATAAGAAATTAGTGGTAAAATAAAACTTTAAAAGCAAGTATGCATAAAGATGGTCAAAGTATAGATAACACCAGCAGTTGCAAATTTGAAATTGCATTTGGAAATTGATCTTACTTTTGTAGGTTTCCATTCTGTTATTGCATATTTTATTATTCCATTCTATTTTAGATTCTAATTGAAAATGGACAGAATATTTTGTGGAGAACCAAATGCCATTTTTGAAGAAGAGGAAGAGGAACTTAAAAGATGCCAAACATTTGCTGTTCAAGGAAACGGGGAAGAGGACAAGCTTCCATTTCTGGATGCATCTTCTAGCCTTTGTCCTTAGCTTTGCCTAATCTCCTGCTAAGTGATGAGCCACTGAACCTGATTGTGTCTCTCTGTGTGCTCTTTAACCTGCTTGCCTTCCTTTCTAAGACCCTGCTTCTCTCCAGGCAGACATACAGTTAGCCAAAGGGCCCTGAAGCCTTAAAACAATAACAACAAAACCACCAACCACCTCAAGGTTGTGCTAGAGGGTAAATGTACCCAACAACCCACCCACATATAGTGTCCTCCTTTATAGAGAACAAGCTGCCAGAGGACAGGCCTCCATTTGAAGGCATTCTCTATTTCCAGGGCTGCCTGGCCCAAGTCTTGTTTAAAACTAAAGAACACTAAGAAGGGAGAGCAGGAAGGCACTTGAAGTTGTCTATCAACAATCAGCACTTGGATAGCAGACTGAGCAGAGGAACATAGGAAGAGCCTGCTAGATCAGACCAAAGGCTCATCTAATCCAGCAGCCTGTTCTCACAGTGGCTGAACAGATGCCTTTTGGAAGCCTGCAAACTGGACATGAGTCCAATGACACTCTGTCTACTTGTGATTCCCAGCAACTGGTATTCAGGGGATGAAGGCCTCTCTCAGTGGAGGTAGAACATAACTGTCATGGCTATTGCCTTGTCCTCTATGAATTTGTCCTGTGGGAGTGAGTTCCACAGATCAACTATGTGCTGTGTGAAGTACTTTCTTTTGTCAGGCACAGCAACCACCTGGTCACAGTCTCTTTCACTAGCATGACATATACTCCTGTTTAAATTTGCATTTATACATAGAAATCATTACAGTGTTACCTTGGGTTACATATGCTTCAGGTTACAGACGCTTCAGGTTATAGACTCCGCTAACCCAGAAAAGTACCTCGGGTTAAGAACTTCAGGATGAGAACAGAAATCGCACGGCGGCAGCGGGAGGCCCCATTAGCTAAAGTGGTGCTTCAGGTTAAGTTTCAGGTTAAGAAAGGACCTCTGGAACAAATTAAGTTCTTAACCCGAGGTACCACTGTATAAGCAAATGTTATCCACCTTGAACCCCACTATTGTTCTGAAGTATCTCCACAAGAAATGACATACATCACAGCAGTGGTTCTCAAACATTTTATTTTTTTAATGTCACTCCAATGGAAATTGCTGAGGGTCTTGGTGAACCACTGAATAAAGTTTTTGTTTGTTTGTTCTACAAATCAAACCACACATACAACTCATATTTTAGTGGCTGTGGTCTTCTCTTTGTAAAGGAATGGCCTCTTGTCAGCAGAGGCCTGTGACGCAGGGTGGAATTTAGCTTAAAACTTCAACTCAGGTTCAGCATTCATTCAGCTTCTGTATTTAGGGTTGAGGGTGGCAAAGGATGAAGAGCCCATGCTGTACTTTGGCTTGAGCAAAGTGGTCTCAATCTCCATTGTCAGAAATAAATAAAATCAAATGCAGGGCCAAGTAGGTACATTCACAGGTCTCGCTATCTGAGCACAATGCATTCTCAGGAAATTGTTTGTTAGGTGTACGTTCGCATAATGAATTGACAATTTTCATTGAACCCTATTGGAAAAATTCCAGTGCATTCTGGACCGTAGAATTTTGACCCCAAAATGATGGGGGGAGGGCCACGAAGACCCTTTGAAACTTTGCAAAAGGCAAACAAGAAAGGGGGGAAAATTCTCTTATTTGTCAAATCTCTCTCCCTCCCTCCCTCTCCTCCCGCTCCCACCCACATGGTTTCTAGCAGCAAAACACAAAAAAGTAATGCTTGTTTAAGGTTGCTTATTTGTTTACAGTACTACATGCAGGTCCGACTGTTTGGATATCTGAATCTGTGCTGTGTATAGCAAGGTTTGGGTACTAATTCCTCGTGTTTGGATAAGTGAATTTTCATTCGAGTGTTTGGATAGCAGGACCTGCATGCATTCTTAACAGTACTGCAAGTTTCCTGAAAGCACTTGAAGGAGCCTGCAAAGTAGTATTAGACAACAGACCTCAGATTGATAACTTCTGCACCATAGAAGAGTTGTTGAGAGATGGCCATTTAAACCTGGCCAATATGATCTGCTTTCCTTCCTTCTGCCTAAAAACAGAGTGCAGGCTGTGTGGGGCACTGTGGTGGTTTGTGTGAAAAGATCTGCTTCCACTTCAGTCGGCTGTGGGATGAATGATGCTTTCATGTCTAAGAAGCAGTGAACTGGGGATGCCACCGACAGCCCCTTGGTGATGCTCCTGCTTTAGACAAAGCTATTTGCACAGCTCGTTCTTGTGAATAAGCTCAGCCGAGCAGAGAGAATGCCTCCCTTGGATCACGTCCATCTCGTCCTTCCCTTTTGTATCCCTCTACTTGCCAGGGAAGTTTGATTAGAGTTGGGAAATTTGCTTGTTCTGTGGTCAACTACTATCACATAATGTTGACCAATACAAGAAATAAGCCAGAGAAAAGTGGCACCTACAGGTACAGCAGGGGATTCTATGGTTTCCAAGTAGCTTCAAATGAGATTTCCATGGCTAGCCCTACCATGAGGCAGAGTGACGCAGTGGCCCCAGGTGGCAAATGCTATGGAGCTGAGAGTGGACAGAACTATGGGAAGAATCCAACATTGTGCTCTTCCAATTGCTCTGTCAGTGAAAGCGTTTCAGCTTGCCCAACAGAATGATCTCCCTCACCTCCTGCCATGCACTGTTCTGGAAGTTTCCAGACTCCCCAGATTTTTGGGCGGGTGGTGAGGAGAGAGGAAAGGGGGGGGGGGAAGTCCCACTGCACTAGTGGAATTCATTTTCCTGGTTCCTTCTGGCACATGTACATCTAGCCCTACATGGTCTGTCCTATGGCCCCTAAGGTGGGAAATGTTGAGGAAAAAGGCTATCTAAACAATCAAAGGGGGCGGAGCAACTCTCCTGTGAGGAAAGATTACAACATCTGGGGCTTTTTAGTTTAGAGAAAAGGTGAGTAAGAGGGGACACGATAGAGGTGCATAAACATATTCTTGATATGCAAAAAGTGCATAGCCTGTCTCATAATACTAGAACTCAGGGTAATCCAATGAAACTGAATGCTGGAAAATTCAGGACATTTATTTGCACAATATATAGCTCAAGTGTGGAATTTTCTCCCACAAGAGGTGGTGATGACTACCAACTTGGATGACTTTTAAAGAGGCTGAGACAGATTCATGGAATGCTATTGCACTCAGGGCTTGCTTGCAGGCTTCCCACAGGGGTATCTGGTTGACCACAGTGAGAACAAGATGCTGGAGTAGATGGCCCGTGGTCTGATTCAGGAGGGCTCTTCCTATGTTCTTAAGCTAACCTGCTTGGCTCAGGTGCAGTGGAGGCAATGTCAAAGCAAGATTCAACTGTCACTCAAGTCTGGGGTGGGGTTGTACATGGAATGGGGGCAGCAAAATGTCTTGAACAATTTCCAGTGATCACCAAGTATGTCACCTGCCATTCATGACTTTTGGCAACCAATGTCATGTCCCATAGATTGCTAAGATCAGGGGAAACTATTCTCAGATATATAAAAACGGTATTTTTGTTTCCAAAGACCTCATTAATATGTTTTACTAACTGCCTGGGCAATTTGTTTCCTTAAATGGTATTGCATCTTTTATTTGATTTATCTTAGATAAATATGACCTGAAAACTTCAGCACATGACTTCAAACTCATGGGATGGAACCCAGGTGACCTCGGTGATGTGTATAGCAGTGCTTAAAATGGAATGAAGCAAACTCTGCATTTGTTATATCTGAGGTAAAACAGACCCTCCAGCTATTACATTAGATTCTTGACAAGGCAATGAAAAATATACTCTTGGGGAAAACAAAGAGTTCATTCAAGATAAAATAAAATTTATCAGCTAGCTAAATAGGGGAAAACAGTTAAACATGCTTAGCATAAAGGCAAATGTAACAATAGGAACATGCAGAGTAAGGCAATCTCGTGGGGAAACCATTCCCAAATTATTAAATGTGAATCAATCCCCCCCATCCCCACTAAGTCCCTCTGAACTCAGTGAGACTTTCTTCTGAGTAGACATGGATAGATTTATGCTGTAAATGTTATATTCAAACAAATTCAAAGTTCAGTTTCTGTATTAGTTTTATTGCAGTGCTTATAAATATGTTAAGATTATGAACATGATAATTTGTCCTTTGCTGGAAGAGTTGTGCACATAGTATATGTATTTCCTAGGGATGGTCACCTGACATTATTTAATTGCAGCTTTCATTTTGGATTGGGCTGGCATTGCATGCATTTCCAGATGCTCAAGTTGGCTTGCATCAGATTCATTCATTATGTTAGTAATTAATTTTATGATTGATGCATTTCTACAAATGGAAAAAAAAATCCATGGAAAAATAAAGTAGTGGAAAAAGTTGCAGAACATGTTTTCCCTTTCCTTTCCCCAACATTTCCCTCTGAGAACAGTCTACCCCACATAACTGGTGCTGGATGTGGATCAACAATGATGGTGGTAGTCACTGCTTTTTTCCTGGGAGCTTCAAACCAAAACTTGTGCTCTATTGGCCAACTATTAAGACTGGATTTTGAGAAATAGTGTTTTCATTTTTCTTCAATGTTTCGGAATTCATTGTCTACAGAAGGGAAAATTCTGTGGGTGGGCATTCTTGCTGCCAATCAGCAGTGAATGAATCCATCAATACCAGTTGTTGGTGAGCACAAGTAGTTGTTGCACTCAGGTCTTGCTTATGGGCTTCACTTTGGGGCATCTGGTTGAGCACTGTGAGAAGAGAATACTGAGCTAGATGGTCCTTTTGTCTGATCCAGCAGCCAGCCTCTCCTTATGTTCATCTACAGCTCCACCTGCCTCTCCATCTAAGCTGTGTCATCATCTGCCAGGGGACAGACAAGACCACCCCTATCCATGGATCCCTAAGATCAGCCTTCCCCAACCTGGTGACCTTTAGAAGTTTTAGACTACAGTTTCCTTCATCTCCAGCCAATACAGCTGTGCTGTTGAGAAGAGTTATCCAAATAAGCTGGAGGGCACCAGGTTGGGGGAGGATGTCTTATATTCTATATTTATGATGGATTTTAATTGTTGCAAGTTGCTTTGGAGATCCAGTCTTGATTGAAAAGTGGGGTGTAAATAAACCAGTTAAACCAACCTTCATATCAGCTTTAGAAAAACAAAACATTTTTGGTGTTGGAAAACCGTTAAAATGATATACACTGAAATTCAACCAGGGGGATACGAGGAAGTCACTTAACAATGTTACTAAGTTTGGTTGAAATATAGTGAGATTTATGTTTGTTTGTTCATTTGTTTGTTTGTTTGAAAAACTTTTGGAAAAACCAATAATTTTTTTGAAAAAAAGAAAGAAAAACAAAACATTTATATTTCTGGAGTATATCAGAACAAAATAAAAATTGTTTCCATGTGCAATACTGTCTTTGCAAAACAATAATGACGACTGTAATCCCTTGAGAGAACAAGACAACATCACCATCTTATCATTGGATCATTTTTTTCACTTCTCTGATGAATCAGATGCCCTTGCTCTCATAGGTAAAGGTAAAGGGACCCCTGACCATGAGGTCCAGTCATGGCCGACTCTGGGGTTGCGGCGCTCATCTCGCTTTATTGGCCGAGGGAGCCAGCGTACAGCTTCCAAGTCATGTGGCCAGCATGACTAAGCCGCTTCTGGCAAAACCAGAGCAGCGCACAGAAACACCGTTTACCTTCCCGCCGGAGTGGTACCTATTTATCTACTTGCACTTTGATGTGCTTTCGAACTGCTAGGCTGGCAGGAGCAGGGACCGAGCAACGGGAGCTCACCCCGTCGTGGGGATTCGAACCGAAAACCTTCTGATCGGCAAGTCCTAGGCTCTGGGGTTTAACCCACAGCGCCGCCCGCGTCCCATGCTCTCATAACTACTGTTTATTCAATTTATTACTACAATTATATCCCACCTTTTCCCTGAGGAGCTCAAGGTGGAGTACATGGTTCTCTCCCTTCCCATTTTAGCCTGTGAGGTAGAACAGGCTGAGAGGCAATGTGTCCTACTTATTGTAAACTGTTACACACAGTGCTTTTTTCGGGGGGGGGGGGGACAGGGGTACGCATACTCCAAAACTTTTTGTGAATCTTTGTACTTTTGTCCATTTACCGTATTTATTTTTCCCAATTTGATCTATGATCATTTTCATTAAAATGTGGACCAAATCTAATTTCTCTCCCCTGCATGTGGACCAAATGTGGACCAAATCTAATTTCTCTCTCCTGCATTCCTGCCAGGGCTGGCCCAAGACATTTTGGCACCTGCGGTGTTCTACAAAATGGTGCCTCCTCCCAGCCAGGGAAGAAGGAGCGAGTGAAAGAATAAAGATCTACATAAGGATAGGCTGCACCTGTGGATCCTGCCACCTGAGCCAGTTGCCTCACCTTGCCTCATGGGTGGGCTGGCCTAAATCTCTGCAACCCATCTGTCTGCCACTGCTGACAGATAAGCTTTCCAGGTTCAACCTACAGAGGAGGTTGACCTGGAGACTGACCCGACTGAAGAGCACTTTCCCCAGGGCTTTCTTGGAGCCACCCATAGACTTTGCCCTTTGCAGGTTTAAGGGCCATGTGTGTGCAGAACCAATTGACGTACACCACATGCACATCCAGGGCATGGATTGTATATGCAGGAGCTTACATGTATTCAGGTGTAAGTACAGTACAGTGGCTCTTGATCACCTGGAGGTTGGAATGAGTCCTGTATCCACATTTTCAGTCTACACCTTTCCATTCTACACAGATGAATGTATGGTCAGGGCTAATGACACCAAAGACAGCAGGATTTTAGCTGGCCTTCAACAAGAGTTTTACTCACATTTTCCTTGTTCCGTTTTACTTCCCTCAATGAAAAGAAGGCAGAGCACACAGGCCAAAAGGAATCGAACGTTTTCCAATGTCCACTTTTTCCTCATCTTTGCTGTAAAGAAAAGGAAGGGGGGAAGGAAAACAAAAACACATTTGCTGTCAAAGAAAGTTGGAGCTGTAGAAGAAAACCCAAAGGCTATTTACAATGAAGTCCTCAAAGATGATTAGACTCAGACTAGAAATCAGCTGAACTGCTGGAGCAGGAGTGAACTCTGTTGAGGTCTTTTGCTAGTGCAGTATTTTTCAAGCTTCCTACCCTCTGGGAACTCCTGACACATTGATTTGTCCACTGCAGAATCTCTTTGGGATTGCAAAAGATTCTGGGATTCTAGGACACACTTTCATCTGATGCAAGGCATGAGTATAGCTTGGTGCAGATACAATGCTAAATGATGGTTTAGTGCACAGTGGGGCTACCTATGGCCCAACCTCAGCCTCATCTTAGCCTGCTCAAGTGATCAGTTCAGACCTCTAGTGAGAGTAAATTTTCACTTCCCAGGCTGCCTGCTAGGTGCGGATGGAATGGAGATTGTATGTGTGTGAGAGAGTGCTAGGTTAGCTCCGGCCCTTCCCACAGTCAGAATGTGCAGGTGTTCACTTCTAGTTTACCATCATGTGAATGAGGTTGTGCAAAGCTTGTGCTTGCCTGTCCCCCTCTCCTCACTTCTTATTTTGCACACCGCAAGGAGAAGATAGGAAACTTTAGATTTTCATTTTCAGTTAACTGCATTTTAGCTACGGTTTACTGAAACAAGCCAGCTTCATAAACCAAGTGCTGAAGTTGGCTTGTTTTAGTAAACCATAGTTTAGACTAATCACAGTTTGTTGAGGTTCATGTGAAAAGAGAAAACTCTGGTTAGTTAAAAACAGAAGCAAAAACTTCTGTCTCCTCCTCACAGTCACTTCAGAAGAGGGTCAGGAGGTACTTGAACCTAAAGATCTTGCAGGCTCATTCTCATTACATAATAAACCATAATTTATCTTTATATCTGAGGGAGGGCAATGACCACGCCCTGCAAGGTACCCAATGCTCTGCTGAGGTCAAATTTGCAGGGGAAGATCAGTCATAATAGACACTGATCAAGCTCTGGTACCACCAGAACTGGAATCATGCTTTGAGCAGATCAAAATTGAACTCAGCATCTTTGCTTGCTGGTGTCTCAACATATATGCATGGTTAATGGAGACATATGTGGACTTTTTTTTTTAAAGAAACAATTGGAATTCTGATCTGGGTTGGATTTTTTTAGGTGTTATTGCTTTTAAAAACCTTAGAGCTTCTCATTTCTTATCAAAGAAATGAGATAAAAAGGTGGTGATGAAACAACAGAAGCTGTCTGATACTATTTCGTACAGATTAGTGAAAACTGCTTCTGAGAATTAAAATAAATTAAAATTGAGAGCTACATTCAGTGCATGCCATGTTTTGGAATTTCTGATGCAACCTTTAATTCCATTCATCCTCTTTAAAAGTTGCTTAATGAGAGGAATGCTACGGAAACCAGAATTTCCAGAAGACAATGCTCTGGATGTGCATTGTTAATTTCCTTTTTTTAAATCTGAAGTTTCCACTCTTATAAATATGCATAATTAATTTTAATAAGAATCACGTGGGCATTTTTTAAAGTGTTTTCGGCAATAGCTTCTTTAATTCCTGTATTACTTTGTAGGCATCCGCTTTTGCAACTGTTTCCACCCCTCTTCATCATAATCAGACCAGCACCCCCCCTTTCACAACTGCTAAAATCTGGGGAGGAACATCTGCTTTCAAGGAAATGGATTAGCCTGTTAGCGCACAATATTACCCAATACAGTGTGTGACAGCTTTTACTAGTCCAGTGTCCTCCAGATGTATAAGACTACAACTCTCATCAGCCCCAGCAAGGCTGGCTGGGAGTGATGGGAGTTGTAGTTCAAAATATTTGAAGGGCACCAGATTGAGAAAGACTGGAGTATGGCAAATCCAAGCAAGTCATGTCTCTGAGTAGGCCAACCTAATCTTCACCACTGTCCCTGCTCCCCATCCACATGCTTTCTCTATCCAGACCCAACCCACACAATCACCCAGAGGAGACTGCAAGGCAGGCAGAGAGAGCAGATCTATCTCTTCAACCTTGTCACTTCTTGCATACTCAGAAAGTGGAGGTGAGTAGGCATGGACAGATTATTGCATTGCATTTATATCCCACCTCTTCTCCAAGAAGTTCAAGGTGGTGTACATGGTTCTCCCCCTCCCCATTTTATGCCACACAACAACCCTGTGAGGTAGGTTTGGCTGGGAGGCAATGACTGGCCCAAGCTCACCCAGTGAGCTTCATTGACGTGGTGGGATTTGAACCCTGGTCTCCCAAAATGCTGCACTACCACTGGCTCCCAGGAGGAGGAGCAGCAGCAGCAGCAGGAGGGACAGGAACACTGAGGTCACCAGTGGCAGAACTTGGTGTCTCAAATTTCAGCGACACCTTGTGCGATTCCAGAATCCATCATCTCCCCATCTCTAAAATGACCTTCCAACATAGGAAACTCCCTAATACCTGCTCATATCATTGGCCCACCTAGCACAGTATTATCTACACAATCTGGCAGCAACTCTCTAGGGTTTCGGATGGGGCTGTTTCTTAACCTTACCTAGAGCTGCATGAGACTCGTAGAGGTTGGTTTTTCTGTGATAACCATGTGCTCAGCCAATGAGCTCTACAGGCTCTTGCTCATCCCAGTGGGGCTTTAGATTTGTGTTTCTCAAATCCCTTATCAGCAACACTGGTCAGAATTTTGCAATGTTTTGAAGTAGTTCTGGGTTAGTCACTCCCTCCACCTAACCTGCTTTACAAGGTTGTTGTGCGAACAAGTGAGAAAAGAATGGCAAAGCATTTCACATGTTGTGAAGAAAGCACTGCAAAAGAAATTTCTAAATACTACTTCTATCATGGCTTAGCTGAATTTCCACCATGCCTTTGGAGATCTGCTCATAAGGTCTGTGTCCAATCTTAGGATGGAAACCACAAATCTTTAGCCCTCCAACTCTGTCTTCTTTCAGCAAGAATCCCTCATTCGATCTAAGCTAAAAAGCAACAGCCAATTACCGGTACCTGCAACTTTGGCGACGAGGCAGATCCTTTCATTTAGCTGTCCCTTTATTCTGACTGTGTTTTGTGCCAAGATAGCATTCCAACACCATGTTACTAAGATCATATATCATCCTTTAAAAATTGTTGGTATACCAGGGGTGGTATGGGGAAACCCCCGCCCCCGCTCCAAAAAAGAGATACCAACTAAATAGTACAAAGAATTTGCAGAAATGTACCCAATCAGCTCAATTTGAGCTGGGGGTTCCTGTCACTCAAAGGTTTACATTTGTACCAGAATCCACCCTAAAGCTGTTTCCAGTGAACCTGGTAGATTTTACAAAATGCTTTCCCCCATCACTGAGCTTCTGAAACCAGTACCTAAGCTTTCCCAGCAAAAGGCATGGCTTAATGAAATGCAGAACTCAGCCACAGGGGCAGTTTAATTCAGTGCCAATGGTTATCTCAGTGTTAGAGCATCTGCTTTAAGTGCAGAAGATCTCAAGTTCAATCCCAGGCATCTCTAGGTCGGTCTAGGATGCTCCCTGCCTGGAACCCTGGACAACCTCTGCCACTCAGTGGAGGCAATACTGAGCTAGGCAGACAAATGGCCTAACTTGGTATACACCAGCTTCCTTTGTTATCTCTGGAGCATGTGCCTCAGATCATGTGCAGAGTGTTTTTCCTCATCACTGGCTCACTGTAGGTGGCTTCTTTGTATCTGGGATTGGGCCTACTGGTTTCTTAAGAAGAAAGGATGCTTGGGGGATTGATTGTACCTTTCTGTTCAGTGGGGCAGGTGGGAGGCAGGTAAAAAGGGGCCAGGAGGACAAGCTGCAAGGTAAAAAACAATTCAAACACATGCAGCAGCCAATCCATCTTTACCCAGATGTAAGCACCACTATTTTCAGTAGGACTTCCCACCAAGTGAGTGTGCCTAGGACTGCAGCCCTAAAGTGCTCCAAGTGTATACTGAAGGGAGGGAATGAAGGAAAGGTTTGCTGCTACTATTGTTACATCAATGTGTTCAGTCAATTTTTTAAATGAAAAATTCAGGATGGGAGACCTAGTTATTGTGCTACAGGAAGCAAGCAAGTACACACACACTCACACACACACACAAGAGGGAGGGAGGGAGGGAGGGAGGGAGAGAGAGAGAGAGAGAGAGAGAGAGAGAGAGAGAGATGGTCTCATTGCATCTTAAAAACCCAGTTTCATTTTGGCCTTTTGCCACAGTTGTCCCAAGGGTACCACAAGATTCTCTCTCTCTCTCTCTCCCTGCTCTCTCTCTTGTCTTTTGCAAGATATTTCAAGCAATATACAAAGGATCCCTCCCCCCAAGATATCAGTTCCAACTGCAGCTAGGCAAACAATATTCATCTCAAAGGAAGCAATGCTAACCTCCCAGAGCCTATTTACATTGGAGAGACACCATGCCCCCACAAAATGACATAAGAGCTCAGCTGGATCGGACCAAATGGGGCCCAGCTAGTTCAGCATCCTTTCCTCACAGCGGTGACCAACCAGATGTCTTTGGGAAGCCCACAAACAACAGGTATTCAGAAGCACAGCCCCGTTAGGCTGCTGGAGGCAAACAGAGTTTTGTGCCAGCTTAAAGCGCGTGCCTAAAGCTAGTCACGAATTCAGTGGTACAGACTTACTCCCAGGTAAGCGTGTGAAGGATTGCAGCCTATGAAGCCTTACCTGGAAGGGAAGTCCCAGTGAACTCAATGCGGCTTGCTTTCATTGTCGACGTGTGCAAGGCTAGGGGTGTGCTGTAAAACTGCGGTCCTAAGCACACTCCCCTTGGAGCATGTCCCATGGAACGCATTAGCACTTGCTGCTGAGTAGACATGTCTGGATTGTAACTCTCACATACCGCGATCCTAACCATTTCTAATGGGAAGGAAACCCTATTGGATTCACTGGCGCTTCCTCCCAAGTAGGTGGCGTTAGGATTGCACCCTGAAATAGATGCAACGCGTGCAGCTGTCGAGGACCAAAGACTGGGGTCCTCCGCACTTTTCTGCGGAGGCAAAGCACAACCAGGTTGGCCGTTGACTTGACTCTGCTCATCAAAGAGGGACCGCCGCCCGATATACTAACCTGACTTGTCAATTTCTAGCGTGCTTCTTGCGCACCCTCTGAAGCGGCAGCCTCCGCGACTTTCCCCTCAGCCCTGAACTGGTCCAAAACGCCGGGCGGGAGGCGCGGTTTGTTCCTAAAAGCGAAGCGCGCTCTCCACAATGCACACACGCACGGAGGGCTCCTGCTCCACTGCAAAGGGACGAATCGCACCGGCCTGCTCACTTGGTGGTATTCACCATCGAAGTGTGTTTGTGTGGAGGAGGAGGAGGAGGAGGAATCGCACCGACAGCAGCCTTCAGAGAAGCAGAGAAGGAGCGGCTGCCGTTTCAAGAACAAACGCGGAGGAGGAGAAGCGAGCGGCGTCTGGGCCGTCGGATCTCTCCAGAGCTTTTGGAGTGGCCAGAGCTCAGGGAGGGTGCGAAGACTCTGCTTTTCTGGAGGGGGGCGGAGAACGAGAGACACCTGCTGTGCCGGCCGCCCACCGCCGCTGCCGCCGCCTTCCCCGCCCCCCAATGTTCTTGCCAACGAGAGCCGTCGAGTGGATGATGCGCGCCTCACCACGGATCCGCCTGTCGGGGCGGCTCTGCAAGCAGCCGCGGCTGACTGAGTGCTGAGATGCGCCTCCCACAGGCCTCGCTTTCTTTCTCCTCCTCCTCCTGCTGCTGCTGCTGCCGCCGCCCCCCACCCCACCCCCCACTTTCTTGGCACACAAATGGCGATTGACAAAGGTAGCGCCGGGTGGGGTTCCTTTCCTTATTGCCAGGGAAGGTGGGGAGGCGAGCGAGGACCGGTGTACAGCGCCACTGCTAGAAAACATTGGATGGAATGGGTCAACAAAGTGCATGGGGAGGGGGGAGCGAGGGAGCACACCAAAAGTGTGTGTGCGTTTTGTTTTAGCCTGGCAAGTGAAGCAGCCAAGCAAGGGAATGATGCCACTTAAACAGTTACTTATTTATATAGTATTTAAATTATTTATAACCTACTCTTCATTGTTTGCACAATCCCAGCATGGGGAAGAGCATTAACATACAGAGAAACATACAATGTGCTTCCCTAAAACAACTTAAATGGAAATTCCTCCATTAGGAACCAAATGCTGGCCTCTTTCTTTCCTGATTTGCACCCTCAGAAAGCTCACTCTTATGTCACAAATGACATGATCTCACACACACACACACACACACACACACCCTTCTTGGTGCCAATATCCTCACCTCATAGCACACACCTTTATTTATTTGGACACGTTGACTGCATGGTTGGTTGTTTGGTGTTAAAGGAAGGTCACTCCGACTCAGAGTCCCTGAGCATGTGAAAACTGCCTTACAGGTTGCTACAGGGATCTCTAGCAAGGTGGGGCATGCAGATGTTTTCCCACTCTTTTCTCTCTCTAACCTGGCCTGTGATGTACTGGTGGTAGCCACAATTTTCATGCATTCTGAATGGTGAGCTCAGTTGACTGTTTGCCAGGGAAATTAGGCTGAAGAAACCTAAGAGCTGTAAAAAGAAAGATACGAAGGAAACAGATAGACCCCCTCCCCAAGTAAAAGATGCCATGCCCTTCAGTCTCCTTCTTGCCACATACCAGTTTGGACACGGGGTGAATGAACAAAAGCCACAGGACACAGGAGCTGTGCATTGTAATCACAATCTACATAAGGTGAGAAATGAAGAAGGGTGGAGTTGTCCTCTTGATTTTTTCTTCTTCCGGTAAGGGTTCTCTGCTTCTAAAAGTTGTGCAGAAGAGAGATGTTCAGCACTGGTGGTGCTACCAGGACAGGAATTTTGAGATGAAGGCCAGGGACCAGCAGTGCAGAAGGAGCGGGTTGGGGGTGGGTGCCCAATGCAACAACAGGTCCCTTCCTGACTTATTGCCTGTATAAAAGTGTGGTTCAGCTGTCAGTGTTGCTGGCTTCTGTGTTTGCGAATAGGGACATAGGAAGCTACCTCTTACCAAGCCTTTGCTCCTACAGATTGGTCTATCTGGCTCAATATAGTCTGATCTGACAGGCAGCAGCTCTCCAGAGTTTCAGGCCAGAGCTTTCCCCAGCCCTATCTGGAGACACCAATAAATAAACCTGGGCATATGCAAGGCAGATACTCTACCACTAAGCTTGTTCCACACACAAGATGGGGTGCCATCTTGTTGTTGTCCTCAGGCAACAAAATTTCTTGCACCTGCTCTGCAGAATGATGTCCCAGTGTAGTTTATGGATGTGGATGCGTCAAGCAGCTAATTCTCCCTTTCCCATTCTTCATTGTCCATTTAGATGATTGAGTTACTCTTGTGGCCCTCCAGATGTTGTCAGATTCCAAACCCCACCATCCCAGGCCACACTGACCATGCTGGCTGGGGCTGAATTGGCACCCCACCACATCTAGAGGGCTGCAGATTCCCCAGGAGGTGTCAAGGTCACCTTGACATTCTGTCAAGACTGACTTAAACTCCTGACTCAAGTCACATCATATGCTTGGTCAGACTTTGACGTCTCTGGGCTTGTTGTGACCCATGGAACTAATAGGAAGAGATCAGGGAAGAAAGCCTGAGCAATGATCTGAGAAAAAGGGTGAGAAGATCTTTAAAAGGCATCATTGTCTGGAGGGAAACAAGTGACAGCTTATTTCCCCCTCCCCTTAATTTGGTAGCAGGGCATGGGAGACTTAACACTGCTGGCTAGTCAGGAGTCCCCCTCCCCTTGACCCCAAGACAGGCCAGTAAAACTGAACACTGTGTGTAGCTTGTCTCCCAGGAACTTAAGACCTTAACAAAGCCCAAGAAAGACGCAGTACAGGGCAGTTAGAATGTGCCTAAAAGGTGTTTCTCAGCTTCCATTGTGGTAGGCCCTCTCATCAATGGAAATGTGTGTTCTGGATAGAGATAGGGAAGAAATCCATTTTTTGACTGCCTTTAAAGGCAAATCCTTTATGAACTTCCTGAGATGATACATGAATTGAAGCACAGCCATCCTTTGAAATATGCATATCTCCAAATTTCACAATGCAGTTTAAAGTAGTTGTTTTTAATTGTGTTTTTTTACTGAAAATTTCAATATTTTATTCTTTTTGTAAACTGCTTTGAGGTCCTTTTTTTTTTTTACAATCAAGTGTTATACAGTGGTACCTCGGGTTAAGAACTTAATTTGTTCCGGAGGTCCGTTCTTAACCTGAAACTGTTCTTAACCTGAAACACCACTTTAGCTAATGGGGCCTCCTGCTGCTGCTGTGCCGCCGGAGCACGATTTCTGTTCTCATCCTGAAGCAAAGTTCTTAACCCGAGGTACTATCTCTGGATTAGCGGAGTCTGTAACCTGAAGCGTGTGTGACCCCAGGTACCACTGTATAAATTTTGTGAAATAAATAAAATAAGCGTATGGTTGTGGACCAGAGTATCTAAGAAGTTGCCTTTCTTCCAATATCCCACATGACTTGCTTAGATCTATGGATCTGATGAAGATCTGTTAATGGTACCACACACCCCTGCAGTAAAGTGTGCAGTGTGTTGAGCATGTGCTTTTATTTGTTTATTTACTGCATTTATCATCTACATTCTTCTCTCAGGAGCTCAAGGTGACAAAATTGTTCTCCCTCCCCTCATTTAACCCCCACAACAACCCTGTGAGGTAGGTTAGGTTGAGAGGCAGTGGCTGGCCCAAGGTCACCTAGTGAGCTCCATGACTGAGTGGGGGTTTGCACTCTGGTCTCCCGGGTCCTAGTCAAACACTCTAACCACTATGCCACACTGGCCGACACTGGCTTACAGCACCAGTTCTCTGGAATTTTCTTACCTGTGGAAGTAATCCTCAACATCATTATGTTTTCAATAGTTGTTGTAAATGGTCACTTATCCTCTTCCAGGTGGGCGGTGGTTGCAGTCCCCTTGCAGGTCAGCCACCATTCCTGGCAGCCAGGACACACAGACTCACCCAGCTGTTGAAAACTATCCAGCTGGCCACATTGCACACCAGGAATTGCCCGCCAAAACTCCATATCTGAATGCACCAATCAGGGGCACTCTAGTGCAAGGGGCTTCACTGGCGGACCGGGAATCAGATGTTTTCACCAGTGACAATTCTTTTCTTCCAAACCTTCCCAAATCAGTCTGAAGTTTTTAAGACTGTTTTTATTATCTATATTACATTTTATATTCTAGTTTTGTGTAACACTTGGGGATTCTTTGAATATGGAGCAGGTATGAGTTCTGAAATAAAATACAATAATTAAAACAACCAGACCTCAAAGTTGGCTCGGCAGCATATTGGCAGCTAGTGCCGATCCTTAAGCAAAGATCAAGGGAATCTAGTTCAATGCTGATTAAAATCTTAAGTACTGGTAGGTGCTGGATAAATCTTAAGAAGTTCTAGCAAGCACCTAAAATCCTATTACATGAAAATGAAAAAAAAGAAGATTAAAAACCATAAGGGAAAGAAACAGTTAATACCAGCGTTTGTAGGGTGTGTGTGTGTGTGTGTTCATTTGCAATATTAAGGGTCCTGTCACACAACAACCGTTTCTTTGATTCATTCTGTCCTGCCTTCCACCTCTCAGTGTTTAGCTTGAACACACAAGGCTGTGAAATTATCAGGCCTGGACTCAAGCCAGTACAAACCAATTTATTGGGGTCCAGCAATTAACTAAAACCTAGAAAGCTTGATTAATTATGGCATCACTCAGCAGGGAACATTGATATACAGAGGGAGGGGGAAGGGAGATTGGGTGTTCTTGCACAATTTCTATTCATTTCGGTGGGGCTTGTGGAGGAGAATTTCGGGAGGGGGTGTGGTGCCCCCAAACAAATAATTTATGCTGCCAATAAACAGCGAATTCCCAGAGTCATAAGATGGTCGGTTGCATTTAATACTCAGAAGCTGCTTAATATAAAATGTTCTTTTTTGTATCCATCATAAGAGGTTAAAATGGAGTAAAGTTTCTACTACCAAGGCTCTTAGGATCACAGCACCAGTATGTACTTTTGAACACTGTTGCTATTGAAATCAGGAAGGAATCTATTATCCTGCTGTTTCGTCGCCTGCTGAAAATGTTTTTGTTTTCACCAAAGAATTTTAAGAGAATTTTTTTCAGTGTTAGTCATTTGTCTTGCATCTTATTATGTTACACAATTATTATGTTTAGATGATTTAATTGTTACCGCTACTACAGTATTTTTAAATTTATTTATTTTGCAAATTTATAAACCACTTTCAGAGCCTGAGGCTATCAAAGAGCTGTGTAACAAGATGAAAATAAGATAAAATACAAGTTCTACAAACATTTAAAACCATTTCTATAAAGTCTAAAAAAACAACAAACTCTCTACAAATTCTGAATAGTAGTGAAACCATTCCTGCTGATGACATTTGGTGAGTTGGCAGAGTATAAATATTCTAAGGAATTAATTGACCTGAGTTGCTGTGTTTATTAATTTCTACTATGAGTGGAATTGGCATTGGGTACAAGTACTGTGGCATAGATTTCATGTGAAAGACATATTATGAACATAGGAAACTGCATTTCACTAAGTCACATCACTGGCCCATGCAAGGCCAGATCTACTATGAAATTAACGAAGCCTAAGCTTCAAGGCCCCCAATCCTGTACGAGCCC